TTAGTGTCTTTGGAGTTGACTCAACTCTTTATTCTACTGCTTTGTGCCTGTTCATTCAGGACATAGGCAACCATGTCTCTTCATAATTTTCTATCTAGTGTGGCTCTTAGCAGTTTTTTCTCTTTGCTACCCCCCCCCAAATTCCATCATCCATTCACACAAACTTGTCAAATTAATGGCTTGCTGCATCTCTCTTACCCTCAAGTTTTCCAAGCCCTCCTTCCTTATGTCTCTAAATAATTTCACCTGTCTTTTTGTGATTTTGAGTATGTGTTATTTTTGTTGCAATTTTCTTTAAGACTCCCTTGTTGCTTATTCACTTTGTCCATAGAATTCTCAGTATTCTTCTGCAGAACCACATTTCTACTGCTTCTAGTTTTTTTTCCTAATCCATGGGGATTTTGTCCAAAATTCACTGCCGTATAAGAGTATAGGTATTACATAGCAACTAATGAAATTTTTCCCGTTTCTCAGTACCTTGCTTAGCTTTTGGAATGCTTCTTTCACTAGTCCAGTGCATGTTCGGATCTCTGTGTTGCATTTTCAGTCCTCTGTTGAAACATTTCACAGATATTTGAACAGCATGTACTTGATGTTTATATTTCTAATTTGTAAATCACATCTCTGGCTTTTTCTCTTGCTGATGTCAATACTTTCTATCTTGTTGCAATTGATGGTTTGTCCTTTTTTTTTTTTTTTTTTTCTCTTGATTTCTTCTATCACCTGGTAGTTTCCTTTCCAAGTTGGCATCTGTGTATCTTATATTGTTAAGATTACACCCACCAATAATAAATCCTGGTGGGGTCTCCAGTTCCATTAGGCTAGTGCCACTGTAAAGATTGAATTAATCTGGAGAGAAGACGCATCCTTGTCTCACACCCTTTTCTATTTTTGTATACCTACTCAATTCATTTTCTATATATACAGACTGTTTGCTCCTAGTATAAGTTCTGGATCATTCTAGCATCTTTTTCAAATAGATCTATTTTCCCAGTAGTTCAAATAGATCCTTGTACCTTGTCAAATGCTTTTGCATAATCTGTAAAACATCAATGCACATCCCTTTGCATATGTATTGCTCTCTTTGATATCATTTTGATCATGAATTTGCTTTGCAAAAAAAGCGATGGTTTTATTTTAAGGCAAAAACATGACTATCTATATATAAAATTCTGTGACATGTTAGTCTGTCCATCACACCCTCTATAATAGCCATACATTGACCAATTGAAAACAAATTTTGGAGTGAAGTGTCAACAGGTAAGTGGGTACAAAGTACAGTTGTTTTTACTAGAGTGTGTAACTTCGTAAAATAAATTTTCACTAATTCTTTTTAAGAAAAAAAATCAAGTTTTATTATAACATACAAAATACTCCCACTATTTTAAAAACAATTTAATGATTAAAATAATACTTATTTGATAAAAATGCATTATTGTTTTTTTTGCATATCTGTTCTTTAAGTTTTTATATATACAAGAATCTGGTTTCCAGTTTGCCTTGCATTTGTGAGAACTATAAACAAATCACAAAGCTAAATGCTTCAAAAAGTTGGAATTTGAATCCAGAAAGAAATATTTATGCATGGCCTGTTGTATCTTGCATGCTCAAGAGTAAGAAATACTAAGAATTTATTCTTTGCTGTTAAAAGGGAAAAAAAAAAGAAATTTAAAAAAAAATATTGTTTACCATGAAATCCTATAAAATTAAATTAAAAAAATATTAAACCATGATGTTGGGTTTTTGTCAAAGTATTTTTTCAAACAAATCAGCTTATTCAAATTTTATTGATTGGTCTGCGAAATTGAATGAAATGTAGAGTTTGACAAAAAATGTAAGCAATAACTTCAATAATTCTAAATAATGTGAGGATTTCAACATTTATCAGTGTGTTGCAAAAAAATTCTAGGATATAAAATGCACATTTGACAGTTTTTGTTCATGTTAAATCCAGGAAAATGTATTATGTAATCTTGACAATGGATCACCAGAACTAATGGTAAGGATGTCGTAGGTACAAGGCCAAGGGTTTGTGATGTTTAAAAAGGGTGAGGTTTTTAAATCAAGGATAAAGAATCGTAGAGATAATGTGACAAGGTGAAAAATTTATTCAAATTATACCTTTTTATAGTAGGAATCTTCAGGAGGCCAGGATGAAAGCAAATCTATATGTGAGTGAAGTGTATTGGAATATGAAGAACACTCAATAATGATCATTATCAGATGCTGTGGCTGGAAAGTTTTTTTTTTTTTGTTTTTTTTTTTTGTAGCTGTTAATATTTGTTGGTTTGGTTTGTTTTGTTTTATGGCATATCAACCTCAATGGGTCATTTAATGCCGACAACTTTTTTCCCCCTGGTAATACTTTTGTTTTGTCAAAAATCTATTTCTGTTAATTTTTTTTTTTCTAAAAAATGTATAGCTGGTAATATTATTTTTTCATAAACATATAGCTGGTAATATTATTTTTTTCATAAACATATAGCTGGTAATATTATTTTTTTCAAAAAACGTATAGCTGCCAACACTATTCTTTCAAAAACGTACAGCTGGCAACATTATTTTATCAAAAACATATTATCAGAGGCCTTGCTGTTGGACATAGTTTATCATCATACCCAGGATGCGGATGTAGTTTGTCATACCCAGGACACTTGTTGGATTTGGAATTAGGCCACTCTGAGTAGATCTTTATTAATTTGCATATAGTATTATGCTATTAATGTTTTTGTGATGAGACTAGGCTGAGTTTGGAAAATCTTAGAAATTGGAGCAATTTTCAGATGAAGATGCAGCAGTGTGACACAACAGGTCACCCCCCCCCCATATGACTGACTAAATACTGTTTAACTATTTTATTGGAGCCAGAAGAGTCAGTATTTTTTTTTTAATGGCAGGAAGATAGTCTTTGAAGTCTAGGGTGTCGCCCTAGATGTCCAACACCCATGGTCAATCAAATAGGTGATCACTTCAAACCAAGTCCAGCCTTATCCCATGTTGTGATTTGCTTTGATCATAAGGCGGCTAAGATCAAATTGCTGTCAGGTATCTTTGTATTGTGCTGGTCCAAGGAGGGTAAGGATGCAAAGAAGAAAAAAATACAGGGTGTCCATAAAGTTCGTGTGCACTTTAAAAAATTTATAACTCTCTTTGTATTTGTGATAGAAATAATCAGTAAAAAATGTTATAACACAGTGTTTCAACAAGATGGAGCTCCTTGTCACTTTGGTCTGCGTGTTAGAGAGTTTCTAAATCAGGAATTTCCTAACAGGTTGATCGGAAGGGGTGGATCATTTTATTGACCTCCACGTTCGCCAGATTTGACTCCATTAGATTTTTTTATGGGGACATGTGAAAACAATCGTGTATGCAACCAAACCTAGTTCATTAGAAGATTTGAAAGCTAAAATAACTAATGTGATTTCAGGCGTTACTATAAATCAGTTGGGAAATGTTTTCCGTGAACTGCAAAATCGTATTACCCTTTTTATTGCTAATGATGGAGGACATGTGGAAACTTAAATAAAATTTCAATAAAACCTTAAAAAATATAGATTTACTTCTTTCTAATCCATTTTACAAATTATTTCTATGGCAAATACAAATAAAGTTATACATTTTTTAAAGTGCACACGAACTTTATGGACACCCTGTATAACACGAATTAAAAAAATAAATATTATTTTTATATAAGGTCCTTTGTACAACAGTTAGTTAATGTTTCTGAGATGAGGTATTATGCATACTATTTACATTATTCTGACTATTGTTCTCATCTTTGTCACTATATGGCGACAAAGATGAGGACAATCTGGTGAAGATGGCATACGGCCGATGTCAAAAGTTCTCGTCAGCAGATAATCACATAGGGTGTCTCCCATCTGGTGGATGGAACGATCTATCAGGACGATCTCTGCCTTCTCGCTTCAGGGGAATTTGTATTTATAGACGTTTGACTCAAACTGGTTTAGGGCACAACACAGTCGAGGAATTTGGTATTTCCACAACTTTCAACAAAACCCCCCTTTCTGCTGTCTGGGTTTTGAAAAATTACTTACTTCCCAATTTGGAATTTTTCTCCCTTTTCTCAGGTGACGGTTACAGGCATTAATCCGCCCCGTAACTTCCACTTTCTCTAATTACCATCTACTAATACTCCTAAGTGGGTATGGAGTTTCCCCACCTTCCTTGGTGTCTCATCTGTGTTCATCACTTTGGCTACCATCCAACCAAGGATTGTTGACTATCTTGGAAAGAAGATGAAAAGAAAGATTTGTTATCTATGCAGAAAAATTTTCCACATCAACCCCTTGTGTTCCATTGTCCAAAACTGACACACAATTCAGATGGCTTTCTACAGCTTTTGGGGTTTCATCAAATTCTTATCTCCGAATTATGATTTTAAATCCTATCTAATTCTCTCCTCTTGCTTTCACAGCCCATATTTTTAGCTGTATGTCATCAACCAAGTGACCTGTCACAGTTGAATGTTGTTTTCTCTGCTAGCCATCTGGTTCTCAGCCCTTTTGGAGAATTAAATCTTTCCCACGGGGATTTACTGGTATGTTGTTCGGTCTGTTCATTAACCTATCTTATTATCAGAGGTCTGTCAATATATCATTCCTTCTATTCAAAAAAACTTATTATTTACCAGTAACAAATAGTGTCAAGGGTAAAAATCGGCAACCCACTTGAGATAAAGGGAAGAAAATAATAAATCAATTAAAAAGAGTATCAAGTCGGAAAACAGAGGTTTCTGTTTGCAGCCTTATATAAGTAGACTCCCAGTTAGGGCTAGATAGAGGAGCTGTCTGTTTAACCAGTTTGTAGCTGTCAGTCACTTGGCTGCACTAAGAAGAAGAGTCAAAGGGATCTATGTGCCATCTACCTACTACCAGAGAAAAATACTGATCTGGGAAGGGTGAACCTTATTGAAATAAACACAAAATTGTTGAGAACCAGATTTGTGTCTTCAGTTTGTTTCTTGTGAATTCAGAGCTTATGGCCATATCATGTTGAAACATTGGTTCCCATATGATCACCAAAGATAAGCAATGTTAAGTCTGGTCAGTACCTAGATGGGTGTTTGCTTGAGAATACCATGTGATGTAATGAATAATGTCTCAGAATTGTTGATCAGAGAGCTGAGTTCCAATTTCAGTTATTCTTGGGAAAGGTATAAATTCACCTCTTCTTTTAATTAGTAAGACTTGTATAAGTAAATAATTATCTCAAAATTCTTACATTCTAAAAAATATTTTCTGGCTTTAAGTAACCTACAAAAAATTGATAAGTCAGAAATATCAAATCAATCATAGCCCCTCCCCATCTACCACCACAGGTGGAGCAAAACACAACATGGAGATTGATTTGTCCAGTGGGTGAAAGACAGTGAGAGACCCCTATTTTATGTTCACAGCAAAACCAACATGTTGGCTGGGGCTTCAGAATACACTGACTTCACCTCTGCAGAGGAGTAAGACCCCCTCCCCACAATGAGGTGTCCTGGGTAAGATGATAAACTACATCCAACAGCAAGGCCTATGATCAGGAAGTTTTGAGGAGCGTGGAATCACCACTCAATTGCTGGTGTTCCCAGGTTCAACCTGACCTGGGGTGGTAGCACTTGTTAGGGTCCCAGCTATGGGCAAATAGTTAATCCCCAAAACATTATGAAAGTGTAAAAATGGGTTTTAATAATGGAAATACATTTTTGTAAAAAAATTATTACCAGCAATTTATTGTTGAAGAAAAAATTATTAGCAGCAATACACTTTTGAAAAAAAAATATTAGCAACAATAAAAGTCTTGTTGGCATTAAACAACTCATTGAGGTTGATATGCTGTAAAAAAACCAAACCAAACTTAGATGTTGTAGACTACAATGAGTTGTTCTATGTCTAACTGTATAATAGTTATATTAAATTTAAATGATAGCAAATTGTATGTCATCAAACACAGCAATTATTTTGAAGGGGAAAGATGATCACCAACACATGGACACAATTCTGAAACCTTGAGAAGTACCATAAAACTTTCTACATATATTTCATTTCATTTCTGTCTTATTTGATATTATTATTTTATTCGCTGACATTATTATAATATCTTTTTATTGTCAGGAAATTGGCCAAGCACCATTGTCTGCAAAGGATCTTGTGGCACACGATGTTCAGGCATTTGCATGTCTTATGTGTGAGATGTTCCTTGCTCCCAAAACCCGACTACTTGGCCCAAATGCCACCCTGAAGGAACGGCACCAACTCCTCTACAAATTATGTCAAATGGACCTTAGTCCCATCCCTAGGTGAGCTCCAGTTTTTTTTTTTTTCTGGACTGAACATTTTACTGTTTTTTTTTTTTTTTTGCACCATATTTGATTGCATATAAAATCCCACCATTTTCCACATAAAAATGGCTTCAAATATATCTGAGTTTTATGAGCATTGTTGTGGTGGCTACTAAGCCACTCTTGGCCTAGATGTCATAGACTACTAGTACATAGTACATCAGTGTATTCATTAATGTCCTGTCCTGGGTATGATGATAAACTATGTCCGACAGCAAGGCCTCTGATCACGAGGTTTTGAGGAGCATGGAACCACCTCTTAATTTTCTTTTGTTCCCAGATCCACCCTGACCTGGGGTGGTAGCACCTATTAGGGTGCCATCTATGGGTAAATTGTTAATCACAAACTGGGGTGAAAACACTATGAAAGTGTAAAAATAGGTTTTAATACCAGCAATAAATTTTTGAAGAAAAAATTATAACTAGCAATACATTTATGAAAAAAAAAAACAACTAGTAGCAATACATTTTTGAAAATAAAAAAAAATATTACCAGCAATAAAAATCTTGTGAGCATTAAATAACCCATTGAAGTTGAGATGCCGTAAAACAAACCAAACCAAAGATTCCCTATCCATAGCCCCTCAGGCTCATATGCTGCTTCTCTATCCATCTATAACAATCTATATGGGTGGGTGTAGTGAATTCTCAAGCATCCCCCTTCACCCTCTCCTCCCATGTGACTTTTAGACCTCTAGCACACAAGCTATCTATACATACATAACTCGTACCATGGCTCCCAGCCCAGCTTAGTTTGCCAGTTATATTTTCATGTCCGTTGTTGTCATTGTCTTTGTTTTTGTTTGTTTTCTTTTTTTGTGTGTGATTTTTTTTTAATAGAAATAGATAGGCTTTCCTATCATCTAATTAATACTCCTCCCCCTTCTTTTGAACAGGAGTAGAGGCTCATCCCTTGTTTCCTATTTAGGAAGTGGTTCCTGAATCCTTTCCTTTTCTCTGACCTTAGTAGTAGCCCTGTCATGAATCTCTTCTAAACAAATCTTTAATGTCTTTGCCCTCCATCAGCACGGCTGATGTTAACCTCCAGGAGAGCAATTCATATTGTTTTCTTGGTCCCATGTTTTCCACTGACATGAAGTAGTGTGATTATATTAAATCAATTGCTATGTCTGCTGCTAGGAAATTAGGTTCAATGTGTTGCATCAAACAAATTTCCTCATCAGAATCCATCTTGCACATTTATAAATCTACCATTTATCCGTGCATTGAATACTAATGCTATATCTGTTCTGGTGCTTCTGCTACATATCTCAAGATTTTTGACAAAATCCAAAGATGGGTCTGCAATGTTATTGGTCCTGACCTGGCATCTCAATATCAGTCACTTTCCCACTGACATATGGCTTCCCTCTGTCATTTCTTGGTAGTTGTTATCTTCTCCTTAGTGCCATGATAGCATGAATTTAAGCATACTACTAAATTGGCAATTAGGTCTCATCATTTTAAATAGTTAAATATAACTGTATGTTCTCTTTTAATATTTTCTTTACTTGCACTTATTTCCCCCTTGTTCCACTGCCCTGTTCTTCACCAGACTGCCCTTTCTCTAGCCCTTGCTTTCTTTCCGCCAATGCCTGGTCTTCATTAGCCTCTATTCGCTCTGTCTCCGCCTGCACTTGCTCTGTCACCCGCTCTGCCTATTTCCATCCGCATTTGCCCTGTCACCCCCTCTGACCGTCTCTGCCTGCATTTGCCCTGTCACCCCCTCTGACCGTCTCTGCCTGCATTTGCCCCGTCACCCCATCTCCATTTGCCCCTGTCCCCCTCTGTCCGTCTCCGCCTCTGCCTGCATTTCCGCCCTGTTCACCCCCCTCTGTCCGTCTCCGCCTGCATTCCCCGTCCCCCCCCTGTCCTCTCCGCCTGCATTCCCCCATCACCTCTGTCCGTCTCCGCCTTCATTCGCCCCGTCACCCCCCCTTTGTCCTTTCTCTAGCCCTTACTTTCACCAGCTTTCTTTGCTCCAATGCCCTGCTCTTCATTAGCCTCTATTCGCTCTGTCTTCGCCTGCATTTGCTCTGTCACCTCTTCTGTCCATCTCTGCCTGCATTTGCTCTGTCACCCCCTCTGTCCGTCTCCATCTCCCCTCACTCTGCCATTCTGGTTCCACTAGGCTCTTTCTGTCCAGCGTGTTCTCTCTCTACCTGTTCTCGCTTTGATCCCTATCTGCTTTCACTCACTCTTTGTATTGATCTCTCTCTCTCTCTCTCTGACCACCTCTGTTCACTCAATTCTCTCTCATGATTGTGTATGTGTGTGTGATTCTACTCCAGACTGAGGAATGTATATGCACTTAAATCTTTCTTCTCTAATTGCAGACCCCTTCATCAAGCTGCCAGCATTTTGTTACAACTAAATGAGGATTTCATGCCACTTCTGTCCGAAAGAGGTCCAGTTTTTAATTATGTTCCCATCAATACACTGGGACTCCCTCCCCTCACACCATCACTGATAACCCATTCGATGATTGATGTCATACCATTTCCATCCTACTTCCCACAGCTCTATCACTCTCTGTGCCAAGTGAAGCAAAAAGATCATGAAATTGAATGTCTCAATTTCTCCCATGCAAAAACTCCCTGTGAGAAGGCCAAGATGACTAAAGTCCTTGCTCGAGAAAAAGTTTCCATCTTGCAGGTATTTTTGCAAAAGTATGAAATAGTTCTTGGCCAGGAAGGTGTTGACCTTCTACTGCCCTATGTTGAGGAGCTCTTGCAAGTGAAGGACACTGCTGTCCAATGTGCTTGGATTCTTTTTGACCTCATGTCTCGTCAGCTTGGCCCAGATGTAGCCAAAAACAAATTCTTGCCCCAGATTACCAAACTGTACACGGAAGATTATTCTACACCAAAACACCTGAAACTCTATCACCACAAATTTCTGGTGCAGCTGTTGGTTAGATTTCAGTTGCAGACATTCTTGGAAAATTTCTCCACGCTTCTGGTTGAAGCCGTTGCTGGCTATAAAGACTTTGTTATTGAGACTGACACTGAGTTACCAGAAGTTGTTGAGTTCAGACGACAGAAGAGTGACTTCTCCCGTAAGGTTCGTAACCAGATTCCAGCCTGCCCCGAAGAAGTCTCTGAGGATAGTTATCAAGGTAACGGGCAGGATGGCAGTGAGAACCATGCTGAAGAGGGAGTGGAAGGTGGTGGGAGCCATAATACAGATGACTATGCCGGGATGCATGAATTTGCAGGTGGCAATTTTCTTTTGGAAGATGTTGGCAGTAGCATTGACAAGGGGGACAGTGAAAAAGGCTCTGATTCTGCAAGTGTTGATCAAGATTCTTTGAAAAGTGAAGAAAGTGGATACAAGCGATCATTGCTTGGGATTGACGATGCTGATTCAGTGTTTCAAAGTGGGCGCCGTTTCTCGTTTCCTGTGTCCATTCATGACAGGAATGCCGGCCGGGAACGTAGCGACAGTGGCAGCCATCCCCGTAGCAACAGCAACACAAGCGATCGAGATCTGCCTCCGATGGGAAACTTATTAACTTCGGCTGAGAATACCGATATTGAACTTGAAAACCTGGTTTATAGTGAAAAGAGCTCTCAGTCTGAAGGTGAGGAACTTGAAGATCGGGAAGATGATGATGATAATGAAGAAGAACATATAGAAGAAGAAGATGAAGAAGAAGAAAGTGATAAGACAGAAATATTTGAAGACTGCCATATGCTGATGTCGCAGGTCGAAGGCTCACCCAGTCATGGTAGTCAAACTGGACGGACTGATCCAGGCATGCCAATTACTGGTAGTGTCCAACAGGGTCTTCATATGGTACGAAGTGAGACGGACGAGTTCACTCGGTGTTTGGCTGGGACTAGTTGGGATGAAATTGTTAATATTCGAGATATGGCTACTGAGAGTGTCAAGTGGTTATGTCACAGATTAGGACCTTTGTTAGCTGCACGGTACCTGTCACTGAACCTCATCCGTCTGTTGCCTCTTTGTTATCTGGATGAAGAACAGTTATTACCTGTCTTGGAAAATGGTAAGTACAACCAGGTTTTCTGAATTTGCTTTAATGTATATTTGCTTTTATGCCACTAAGATGCAAGGGGCTACTGTGAGTGAAAGAGAATGAAAAGCCTTTAGAAGGTACTGGAAGCCCAGTCCTAAACAGGAAACAAGGAATAAACTTTTACTCCTGTTCAAAAGACTGGGAAGGAGTGTAAACCAAACGATAGTCAAACCTATCTACTCCTGTTGAGAGAAACAAAAATTAATAGTAAATAAAATTCTAGAGCTTAATCGGAGATGTTAGAAGTATAGAGTTGAAGTAGATTTTAGAAGGAATCATAAACCCAATACTAAGCAGAAAACCAGGGATAATTCTTTACTCTTGTTCAGAAGACTGGGGAGGTGTGTTAACTGGGCAATAGGCAAACCTATCGACTCTTATTAGCTGAGATATAAGAAATACAGATGTGAATGTTTGCAGAAGAAAGTGGAATAATTCTGAAAAACATTGCAATGGAAATTAATCAGAATTTTGCTGGATTGTAAACTGATAAGATTAAATGTTCCTTAGATTGAACAGAACTCTCAACTTCAGACAATTTCTTCATCACCTTGATTCCGTTTCATGGCAACTCGTATGTCAACTAACAAAATTAAATAGAAAAAAATTGTCAGATAAAATTTAATAAAATATGTCTGAATGAATTCTTGCTACCTAAATACAAATACAAGGAAATACTGAAATTTATTAGATACTAGAAATTTTTGAGTTTTCTTGAATGGTTTATTAGTTAGGCTGAGAACTTGTTAGCAATTTTTTTCCTTTTGTGTGTGTGTGTGTGTGTGTGTGTGTGTGTGTGTGTGTGTGTGTGTATCTATCTATATATTAAAAAAAATGAACTTGGAGCAATTTAACAATTTTAATTTTTTTTAATATAGGATGGACATGCTTATTGTGTAATGCTCCCAACATTTCGCTTTCCTGGAAGATGTTACACTTGTTGCAAGTTGCCTTACTGTCCATGTTACTCACTTGTTGCAAGTTGCCTTACTGCTCATGTTACTCACTTGTTGAAAGTTGCCTTACTGCCCGTGTTGCTCTCTTTTTGCAGGTCGCCTTACTGCCCGAGTTGCTCTCTTTTTGCAGGTCGCCTTACTGCCCGTGTTGCTCTCTTTTTGCAGGTCGCCTTACTGCCCGTGTTGCTCTCTTTTTGCAGGTCGCCTTACTGCCCGTGTTGCTCTCTTTTTGCAGGTCGCCTTACTGCCCGTGTTGCTCTCTTGTCACAATTTGCCTTACTAACCATAGGTCCATTACAAGCATATAATTATTTTCACATTTAAATTTTCTCTGCACAAAATAGGTATAAAACTTTCATTATATATTTTTTTCTTTTTAAAGCTGGCAATTGTCGTAAATCTTGCCATTTAGTTGGTGGTGACACATACGCTGTGAAAGTCTTGGAATGCTTATCATTCATGGCCATCCTGTACGGAGAACAAGTTATTTTATTGCAATATTTCCCAGCAATGGAGGACATGGTATGTATACATAAATTATATTGCATACAAAATGAATGATAAAGACTAGCACTCAATTATTTTTTACTTTGTCAAGGTTGACTATGGATGTGACAGCTTTTTGTTATAACTCCCTAGACAAGGAAGTTAGTTATTTGAGATTATAACAGTTGATTTGAAAGACTTGAAATTTGACAGTTGATTTGCTTAGTTTCATGCCTTTTGTCTATCAGACCATTGTTTGTTGACACTGAAAACACCCTGAAAATCTACCTGTTCTTTCAAAATTAAAGTCATACATTCCCCATTCTCTTTGTATTCCATTTGTAAGAAGGAAGTTCCACTCAGTTTCTTCCCAAGAACTGCTACTTTGTGGAACTAACTCCTTTCGAGAGGATGCTTTCTTGATCACTATATTCTTAATATCTTCAAGTTTAGGCTTAATTGTTATCTTTCCCACATATCCTCATAAACAGCACTTATTATCTCCTTATTCAGTAACCCTCTACTTTGAGTGGCTCTTTGCCCTTGTATTTGAACATTGGTTCAAAAAAATCATTGCAGCATTTCATTAATCATAGTGAAAATATGGAAATGTTTATGGTCTAGAAAGTTGTAAATATTTACAGGGTGATTGAGAAGTAACTCCCCATTTTAAAATGTATATAATTTATTTATTAAGTATAATTTTTACAAAACATAGATATGAGAAGAATGCGTTTAGCATGCAGTTTTATTTAAAATTCAATATGGACATATTTTGCTACTAGCTTCTTGAGCTGCCCTGGAACCAAGTTGACTGATTTTACCAGGAACTCTGGTATGGAAGACATAACTTCATGCATTCATCCTTCAAGTTCTTCCAAAGTGTTGGTTTGATATAGTAGACTTTCTCCTTTAACCAACCCTACCAGAAAAAGTCACAGCATGTTAAGTCAGGACTCCTGGCTGGCCACTCATACATAAAATAGGGAGTTACTTTTCAGTCAGCCTGTATATAAAACTTGAATATATAAAGCTGGACACTGACGTCAACACCAAGCGACAAGGGTCTGTTTTATGCTTGAATGCAATCTTCAAGTCAATCTCTTCTGGATAGCTTGAAGATTGCGTTCAAAATGTTCTTTAAATTGGTTCTTTCAACATATGGTTTGGTTTTGTTTAAATAGATTATGTATATCAAAATGTTCTCTTTGGGTTATTTAATGCCAACAAGATTTTTAGGATAGGTTCATTTAAATAGATTATGTATTAATATTATATTTTTAAAAAATGTAGGGCTTGTAATATTTTTTTTCTTCAAAAATTCATTGCTCGTAATAATATTTTGCAAAAATGTATTGCTGATATTAAAATCTATTTTTACACTTTCATAGTGCTTTGACCACAGTTTGATGTTTAACTATTTGCTCATAGCTGGGACCCTAACAGGTGCTACCACCAGGGTGGACCTGGGAACACCAGCAATTAAGGTGTGGTTCCACGCTCCTCAAAACCTCCTGATCAGAGGCTTTGCTGTTGGACGTAGTTTATCATCTTACCCAGGACACTGATGTAGTTTATCGTCATATCCAGGACGGTTACATATGCTGTATCCTTGATATTGAGTACCTTTTACACATAAATATGGCCAACCTTAAAACTATATTTTAATCATATATATATATATATATATATATATTCCACTTTAAATGTTATTTTTATTGGATATCCATATTTGAATAGATGCTCTGTTTATTTTAAACACTAGATTTATTTTTAATGAACGGCCTGAATATTCAAGAAATCTTATTAAAGAAAAAAATGTGCCCTCTGGCAGGATTTGAACCTGAAACCCACTTTGCAAGAGAAATCCTTGCTAGATCCGACATGCTTTTAACTGATTCATCCATAAATGTTGTTGACCAAGCAAGTCTGAATACTGCCTTGAAGCACAATCCATTTCGTTCTACATTCCGGAAAGATTCATATCTGCTCAGTTTTGTATCAAAAACATAAACAAAGCTATTTCTTAAGGTTTTCTGAGAATAAGAATACTTTTAGAGACACAGAGGAAACCTGTGTATGTATGTGTGTGGGTAGGTATGTAGGTAGTCACAAGTCATCATGACAGAGAGTTTGAGTGTACTGTCCTAGTTCAGCTGTTGATCACAGCAGATTAGATGCTCTCTCTCTCTCTCTCTTTGAAACTGTAACTAATATCAGCTTAGCATAATTGTAATATGATCCACAGGTGGGCTCTGTAGGTGTTGAAGCAGGTTAGGTATACTTGGAAATGAGAAGTCATATATAATCATTTATTAGAAAATTATAACATTTTGTTTCAGTACTTTTGGTAATGGTAATAGTGTTGAATGTAGAATAAAGGGTTATACTTGCTCTACTCTGTATTGAGCACACTTTTAAGAATAGTATTTGTTGGTTATTGGAATATACACCATATCTATAATTGGAGATATCTATCTATCTATATATTCAATCATGTTTGGTTGAATGTATATATATATTTATATATTCAATCATGTTTGGTTGAATAATCTAGGCATATGTCTATTTATTTTTTATCTTAATTCTCTCAAATTCATAGATCAATTTCTTAATGCTGTTACAAAACTGAGTAAGAAAGATACCATAGTTTTGGTTATTTCTTTTATTTTCCCAAGTACTTTCAATCTCATCCAAGAAAAATCTTCAGGGATGAATTGCTAAGACAAAAAATAGTTGTGAATTTTTTTTTCTAAATGCTCATGAAATATGCTCCGTTATAGTCAAATTACATTAAATTTATTTAAGGGTGGTAACTTAGTTTAAATTTTTTATTGTTAATATTTTAAAAATGCTCAACCTACAATTCTTTTAAAAATATAAATCTAACAACAATGAAGAAAAAAATAGATGGAATGCATTAGTTTTTGACATATGGACATTTAAAACAATATTTTTATTCTTGCAAAATTGTTTTTAACAGGTTGCTGCTGCAGAGAAAGAAATGACACAGACAACTGAAGCCGGCCTGGTTGCTTCCCTTGTTTTAATGCGTCACATGATTCCCTTATTATCAGAGAAAACCCTCATGGATTTGCTGCAGGTAAACTGAACATTCATTGTCACACGTACAAATATGAGTTCTTTATTGAATATATACCTACATAGGTATATGTCCAGAGACCAATGATGTTAAAAAAAAAAAAAAAAAAAAAAGCATTTATTTTTCAGCATAATCTTCTTCCTTATCAATGCCCTTATTTCAGTGGTAAATATTACTTAGATAGATCGAACACTATACAGTGAAAATTTCAGATCAAGATTTGGCTAATAATTATATATCAGGCTATGGACTTGTTGATTTCCCTTTGTAAATACATAAAAGTTTTTGTTAAATTTCTCAGAATAATTCCGATGGTAAGACAATTTGGATAAAAAGAAGATAATTGGAAAATATATTTCTTACTTATTGCTGACACGTTTCGTCAATCCAACTTTATCAAAGCAAGTTTAAAAGCAAAATGTGTTTTAGTTACATTAAATTCAAATATAAATGGAACGCTCCTGTGTAAACCTCCTAAAAAAACTAAAAAAATGTTATGCTTTTAAACTTGCCTTGATAAAGTCGGATTAACGAAACATGACTAAGAAATATATTTTTCAATTATCTTCTTTTTATCCATAAAAGATTTTATAAATCTTTCTAAGCAAAATCTCACTTAGTTTCCTTTTTAATAATTATGTAATTCCTCTTTAAATTATTCATACTACAAGGATGAAATGAAAGCCGCAGTCTAATTTTTTCCTAGGCCGTACCCTACACATATCCAAGTACAGATGTGGAGACATGGGTACAGATTGTTTAAGCATTCCATAGCACATCCCAAACGAATCTACTAATAGAAACCTGCAATGCTGTTTTCCCTCTGAGACCAATGTACTGATGATGATGATGAGAATGATGCTGATGCCATAAGAATTCATAGTTTGGGATAAGAATGATCTTAAACAAAAAAAAAAAAAAAAAAAATCAATATTTTCTAACAAGTGTTTGAAGAAATAAGACTCAAGATAAATCTTTGCAAAACATAAACCATAATCTGGAATTGAAATAAAAGCACGTGTGATGGCACCTACCTGGAATTCATCATAAAAATTCAGTATGTGAAATTACTAAATATGAAATACTTCAAATACAATTCAGTGTATGGTGCAGTTGTAACAAATTTATATAGGAGATAAGGTATCTGTTTATATTTCTGAGATGAGGTATTGTAATTATTTACACTATTTACATTGTTCGGATTGTTGTCCTCGGTGTTGTTGCCATATTCACTCCTTCAATATCTGCCTATATTTCTGAGATGAGGTATTGTAATTATTTACACTATTTACATTGTTCGGACTGTTGTCCTCATCTTTATTGCCATATTCACTCCTTCAATATCTGTCTATATTTCTGAGATGAGGTATTGTAATTATTTACACTATTTACATTGTTCGGACTGTTGTCCTCATCTTTATTGCCATATTCACTCCTTCAATATCTGTCTATATTTCTGAGATGAGGTATTGTAATTATTTACACTATTTAAATTGTTCGGACTGTTGTCCTCATCTTTGTTGCCATATTCACTCCTTCAATATCTGTCTATATTTCTGAGATGAGGTATTGTAATTATTTACACTATTTAAATTGTTCGGACTGTTGTCCTCATCTTTGTTGCCATATTCACTCCTTCAATATCTGCCTATATTTCTGAGATGAGGTATTGTAATTATTTACACTATTTACATTGTTCGGACTGTTGTCCTCATCTTTATTGCCATATTCACTCCTTCAATATCTGTCTATATTTCTGAGATGAGGTATTGTAATTATTTACACTATTTACATTGTTCGGACTGTTGTCCTCATCTTTGTTGCCATATTCACTCCTTCAATATCTGTCTATATTTCTGAGATGAGGTATTGTAATTATTTACACTATTTAAATTGTTGGGACTGTTGTCCTCATCTTTGTTGCCATATTCACTCCTTCAATATCTGTCTATATTTCTGAGATGAGGTATTGTAATTATTTACACTATTTAAATTGTTCAGACTGTTGTCCTCATCTTTGTTGCCATATTCACTCCTTCAATATCTGTCTATATTTCTGAGATGAGGTATTGTAATTATTTACAATTTACATTGTTCGGACTGTTGTCCTCATCTTTGTTGCCATATTCACTCCTTCAATATCTGTCTATATTTCTGAGATGAGGTATTGTAATTATTTACACTATTTACATTGTTCGGACTGTTGTCCTCATCTTTATTGCCATATTCACTCCTTCAATATCTGTCTATATTTCTGAGATGAGGTATTGTAATTATTTACACTATTTACATTGTTGGGACTGTTGTCCTCATCTTTATTGCCATATTCACTCCTTCAATATCTGTCTATATTTCTGAGATGAGGTATTGTAATTATTTACACTATTTACATTGTTAGGACTGTTGTCCTCATCTTTATTGCCATATTCACTCCTTCAATATCTGTCTATATTTCTGAGATGAGGTATTGTAATTATTTACACTATTTACATTGTTCGGACTGTTGTCCTCATCTTTATTGCCATATTCACTCCTTCAATATATGTCTATATTTCTGAGATGAGGTATTGTAATTATTTACACTATTTACATTGTTCGGACTGTTGTCCTCATCTTTGTTGCCATATTCACTCCTTCAATATCTGTCTATATTTCTGAGATGAGGTATTGTAATTATTTACACTATTTACATTGTTCGGACTGTTGTCCTCATCTTTATTGCCATATTCACTCCTTCAATATCTGTCTATATTTCTGAGATGAGGTATTGTAATTATTTACACTATTTACATTGTTCGGACTGTTGTCCTCATCTTTATTGCCATATTCACAACATTTTGGTCATTGTATGCTCTGGCTTTTTTCAGGTGTTTGGAATTTTGAACTGAACCCTTTATTTGTCCACTGGTATAGATTGTTCCAGTTCCACATGCCATACCTCTTCTGGATATTTCATTATCGATTATCTCCAGGTATTGAACTCACAACTCTTTGGGTTAAGTCACTGGATTCAACCAATGCTTTTATCCACTGGACAAAATAAAGTGTTTGGTTTCTAAATTTCAATCACCTGAAGAAGGCTGGGGTGTACAACAGCTGAAATGTTGTGACTATGATAACAAAGATGAGGATAACAATGTAAATAATGGAGATAGTGTAATCGAACATTTAAGACTGTGCTAGGTGTAGTTTCTCCCACCACTGCAAGTTGCTACAAAACCCAAACATTAACGTATAAAGTTCTTAAATACCCTTATCAAATCTAGATTTTCATATGGATGTCATTCGTAGCACCAAACTCATTCAGAAACTTTATACAAAGACTTCCTCAGATCAATGGATAAAAATAACCTTGAGTGAATGAAACCTGTAGGTCTTAGTGAGGACCATCCTTCTTTGAGATCTGTGGACTGGCACTACAGAATCACAAACAAAGAACTGTAACAAATAACAGAAACCACATCACTTGAAGACTTAGAATAACAACATTTAAAAGGGACGGCAGATGTAACTTGAAGAGAAAATAATGACATAAAGATATTGACATTTCACACCACTTCATGCAAAAGTTTAGGAAGGAAACCCCCATCAATACTAGAAAGAGGGGTAATAGTTGACTCGAGAAACATATTTTCCTGAAAAATTGTTTTAATAGAAAAATTTTATAAATTTCTACTGACAGTTTCACTAGCTGCTCGGTCAATGAATGCTAAACGTTTCCACATAAGGAAATGGTTAATGTTACCATTATCATCATAGTTGTTGTTATGGCCAAGAATTAGATTTCATTTATTTTACTTTCTTCTTTGATTAAGAAAGATTAGGCTTTAGGCTTCAAAATTTCATTACTCTGTTATCTACTGGACTCATACGTGTGTATGTAGTTACGTGGCACTCAGGAGTTCATTTGTTGGGTTAGGCACTGGAAGACATATGCTCTGATTCAGGGGAAAAAGTAGCAAATTGCTTTCAAAGGAAAAATTAACTGACAAGAGATATTTATTAACAAAGACAGCAAAATGAGAACAATTTACCCCAAAGACTTATGGCAGCTAAGACCAACTTGATTGGCACTCTAGAATTTCTTTAAGCACCATGATAAAGTTAAAAACCATTTTAGTTGTATAGCGAAGAAAATGGCAACTTACCTCGACAAACCAAGTGACAGCATGTTGCGTGTATCCTACGATGGAAAAGAAAATTACTTACCAAAAAAAGGGCATGCATTCTGCATGACATGATGAAGATGGAATATTTAGATTATAAACAAGTCGCAGGAATCTCTATAAAAGTATTTTGTTATGCAAAAATTTGGCATCCTCTCCCACTTATTGACAAATTAAAAAAATTCTTGGTAAAAGCAGTTGGTGTTCTCAAATCGAGAGGAAAATTGATTTATTTTGGCTACTCGTTTGTCAGAGAGTGAGTTATTTTTCTGACTGGTTATATGCATTGGTATTTGTGAGATAGTACCTGCGAATTGAGTTTTCGGCATTTCTTTCTGCCCCCGATATTCGAGTCTGAACTTACTGTGATTTGTTCTCTGCATTGTAGAATTAATCTGCGACAAATATTTCCTTTGCTTTCAGAATGCTTACAAGTTGAAAGGGAAGACTACCAGCACATGTACCTAAGCCTTAATCTATAATATTGTTGTTGAGTTATCAAATATATGTTATGTGGCTTTGGATAATATAGGCAGTCAAATCAAAAACGTTTTAAAAAGGACTCCATTTCTGGATCTTAGTTGCACGCTAAGAAGGTCTGTAGTATAGAATGCCATATTTTCTCATCTATCTATCTTCTAAACATCAAATTTTGTCTGTCTGTCCGTCCATGTGTTTGAAACCCCTTTAACTCTGACCACACTTGCTCTATATAAACATATAATTTTTTGGAATCTGGATCATTCCAAGATTGAAAATCTGTCCTACATCTGATGCTTAAACATACAGCATTAGGATTTGTGTCCGGATGAGGAAGTAACAGTTAAAAATTTAGATTTTAAAATAACTGAAAAAAATTAGTGATTTTTAAAAGTTTTTAATTTATATTGAGTTTAAAGTAACACAAAAAATTTGTGAATTTAAAAGATTTTGTTTTAAATTCAGTTTAAAATATCTCCAAAACTTTGTGAATTGAAGAAATTAACTTTATTTCTTCAAAATGCCAAGGAACCAGAGTTAAAGTGAAAGGTTTTGAATTTCTGCAGAGTTTGTGATTTGAAGAACTCAATTCAATTGAAGTTTCACCTGAACATTGCATATTTAACAGTTCAGTCCTCTTCTTTTTTTGTTTCAAGTGAAATTTTTCTGTTTCTTAATACATTGCTTAGCTTTTGGAAAACATATTTTGCTATTGCAATGTGCCTGTCAAAACACTTATTAGATATCTAATTTGTTGTACTTGTTTGATTTTGGTATCTCCAATTTGGAATTTGCATGTTGGATTGTTTTTTTTTTTTTTTTTTTTCACAGACCACCAAACATTCTGTCTTCTTGCAACTGATGTTTAGTCCTTTCTTCTTGCTTTCCTCCACTACCTTCTGTTGGAGTTCTTGTAGTTTCCTTTCTGTGTCTAGTCTTGGGTATGACAATAAACTACATCTGGCAGCAAAACCTCTGATTGGGAGATTGAATGTTTTGAGAAGCATGGAACCACTTCTTAATTGCTGTTGTTTCCAGGTTCAACCTCACCTGGGGTGGTAGCATCTGTTAGGGTCCCAGGTACAGGCAAATAGTGAACCCCCAAATAAAAGCAAAACACTATAAAAGTATAAAAATACATTTTTATAGCAAAAATTACCAACAATATTTATAGTAAAATTACCAACATACTAACAAATTGTAGTGATTTCACTCAAATCCATTTAAAATACTATCAAACAACCAACATGAAAGACCTCTTTAATGACATTAAGCTATAAAATATCCTATAATTTCTTAATTAGATCAAACTGTATTCCAAATTATAACTTTAACGAAACTACAACATGAAACACACATCTTGTAATCATGTCCATACAAACATGTAGATGTACAAAAGCTGAATACCATGTATTCACTTGTGAAGGCAGAATAACATCATTTTTTATTCAAAGCTCCAAAGAAAATTAAACTTCTGCATTAAATGACCCATAAGGAGTTGATATGCTGTTAAAGAGAGAAATTAATCAATCTTTCTGTGTCCACTATCAACATTGTATCATCAGCATATCTTGGGCTGTTAAGATTGTGGCTACCTTTCTTCTTATTTTCTCATAATCGCCTCACCGTATCGGTTGAATAAAAAGTAATTAATGATGAACAATCTTTTGTTAGTGAATTTATTCTATTTTTTATTGTTTTTTTTTTTTTAAATTTTATTTATCTGCAGGATACAAAGCTGCATAACATTCTTCATTCTGTCATCCGACTGACTGCCTCAAACATGCGCTTCCCAAGTGGTCATCTTGCACGCAGCCTAATTTGCCACAAGATCATTGATGTCATTTACATCATTGGTGTGCGTATCGGATTTGAGATGACCCGTAAACATCTGACCAGTACAATGCAACTGTTTTTTGACTCCTTCTTCCAAGTTCACTGCCCAGATGCCTGTCCAAACAGCACAGTTGAAGAGACATTTAATAAATCTGATGTCTCTGCTCATTCATCTCCTCGTCTTTCCAAAGCAAAGTCCAAAGAAAAACCATCTGGATCTGTGGATAGTGAGTAACATTCCTTTACCATAACCCCCTCCTGCAATGTTGAATCAGAAAGAAGAAATTTCCTTTGATTGGATTTTACTGTTTAATGGCAACAATTTCCAAGGGGCATAACCGATTTTATATAAATTTTATTTGGTGTGCTGACAATTAATTTTGTTTCTCCTATTTGCTCTTCCTAATAATACAATTCTTTGAAATCCAGAGTTTGTGTGTGTATGTGTGTATGTATGTATGTATGTATATATATATATATATATATATATATATATATATATATATGGTACGATGGATAAATTGTCATCTAAATTACAAAAATGAAAATAACACTGACATCTCATTTTAACAGATATACAGGGTGCGATGGATAAATTGTCGTCTAAATGACGCAAAAATCGAAAAATAACACTGACATCTCATTTTAACAAATATACAGCGTGCGATTGATAAATTGTCGTCTAAATGACGCAAAAAAAAAAATGAAAATAACACTGACATCTCATTTTAACAGATATATTTACCAAAATTACAAAAAATTATCTTTATTCAATAAAATTGCCATTGGCTTTAACCACACTCTGCAGACAACTTCAGAATCTCATGCATCTCCTTCTAGATGAACTTGTTAAGTTGGTAAATGTTGCCATAATCCTTACCTTCAGTTCATCTTTGATATTACAAGGAGTTTTGTTGGGCTCTTGCTCAACTGCGTCCCACACTTAATAATCAATGGTGTTGCAGTCTGAGCAGTTAGGTGTCCAGATGTAAGGGGTCATGTGGTTGCAGAAATTGACAGCCATGACTGGGTTCTTCTGTTTGTGTGGCATGGTGCAGAGTCCTGCTGTGAGACATGGGGTCTTTCAGCAGCTACCCTCTTGACTCAGGGCAGCACTACCTCCTCAGGGCACTTGATGTAGGCCTCTGTGTTGAGTCTGAAGATGAATGGAGGAATAACATCACTATCACTAGTGATCACTCCAAACACCTTTCTAATCACCATTAGACTCATCCAACTCTTTCTGAATCCTCTGCACTGTCCTCAGATTGTCACCCAAACACTCTGAAATGGTTGTATTGGAAATTCTGGCAAGCAGTACAGGATGTTCTTTTGAAATTTCTGGTGGAGTGAATTGCTTCATGGTGCTCTTTTTATCACAAATCCTACTATACTCTGCAGTCAACAAAAACAAACAATACGCCTGCACAAAATTAAAAATATAAAATGGTGACAATTCCTGGTAATCTTCACAATCTTAGCTGGGCTCAAATATCAGTGGCAGATATGCAACAATTTCAATCACAAAGATTCTGACATCCTGGGGAAAATACAAAATTCAAATTTTTTTCTCTTTTTTGCAGGTGAAGAATCTGAAGAACTCTACTGGAATATTAAAAAAGATGGCAGGGCTCAGGAATACAAAATTGGTTCTTCAGTAAATGTGAATGATATGCACCAATCTTCCCCTTCACAAGCATTTCACAGATTGAAAAGTCGTGTAAAGCGAACCAGTGTTACTGGTGTCACCAACTCTGCTGCTGTTTCAACTAAACTTAAATCATCTGGTAAATTCTCTGATTGCTGTTATTTTTCTGACCCACCCACTTCCTCAAGTCTATATGATATTTCATATTTGTTTGCTAAAATATATATGTTATATATAATTATACATTTTACCAGTTTGTGACTGGAAGGCATAATTCCGAGGAGGATATAAATCCAGTGAGAGCTTGATGTAGACTACAGAGCATTATAATGATAAGAAGACGGAGACATTAATTATCCATTTTGTTTATAATTTTCATTTTGTGAACACTGAGATGTTCATCTCATCAGAATGAAAACCTTCTCCGTGAATGGAGAAAGTACACCGGACAGACACTTTAGATTGGTAAGGTGAGAGAGAGAGGTTGGGTAAAGATAGGGCTAAGAGATTAGTGGTTAGTAGTAGTCAGTTTCCTTAACCAAGAATTTACTCTACACTTTTTAGATTTTAATATTGGTTTATATGTTACTTTGGCCGATATCATTTGCTGTTTTTTATGCAGGATAAATCAGCTCGATTCAAATTAATTTGTTTTTAGGCCAAAGCCTGATAGTGGAGACATTGAGTCGAGGTGAATGCAAGTGTGTGTGTGGGGGGGATATATAAAAGGAGTGAAGGCTTGGAGAAAGAAGAAGGTGAGAAGGAAAATGGAGGCATAGTGGTAGCTTTAGCAGCCTGTCTAGATACTTCTTAATTTTTGGAACTATGTAAATGGGTTTATACCATGGGTTGATTGTTATGAAGTGGTCACTAGTGCAAATAATAATTAGAAGTCACAATGATATTGTCAGATACAATAGGTGGATACAGCAAATGACTTTGGAGAAATAATAAACATTCAAAAATAAATACCAAACTTAAGGAAAAAGCTATGGATTATGATAGTCAGTGGAAACATTGAGTTGAGGGGAATATAAGGGGTGGGGGTATATGAATTAAGGCATTATATTTATTTATGACATTTTTATGTTTATACATTCTTTTTTTTATAGATACAAATATTTAAGTAAATGCTCTGTTTACAATAAACAGTATTAACAACATTTACTGGCCTGAATGTCTGAGAAATTGTCATAGAAAATGTTCGTCCTCTGACAGGAATCGAACCTGTATCCTATATGGAGCCATCATATAGCCTGACATGCTTTTACTGATTGAGCTACAAAGGAGCATTTCGGTTAGCAAGGTTGATTTTACTGTTTTTAAATTACAATTCTTCATCTACCTTACTAACCAAACCACTCCTCTGTGGCTCAATCAGTAAAAGCACGTCAGGCTATATGACGGTTCCGTATAGGATACACATTTGATTCCTGTCGGAGGACGCATATTTTTTATGAAAATTTCTTGGACATTCAGGCCAGTAAATGTCATTAATACTGTTTATTATAAACAGAGCATTTACTTAAATATTTGTATCTATAAAAAGAATGTATAAACATAAAAAATGTCTTAAAATAATTGTCAGACTTTGTCCATTTCATAATGGGGAGAGTTTAATTGTTTTAAAAATCAGCATTTGAAATTCTGGTTTGGAGCTGAGCTTGAACATCAATTACTGCTACTGATGAGAAATATGCATTATCTTCCAGGCAAAACATATAGTGCTTATCCTATGATATTTACTGGACAGAAGGCATGCTATTCCATCTGCATTAGGATCAACATGTTTCTATTTCATCAGTATGCATCACGGATTTTCTTTCTCCAATGCTGCTCAATTTTGATTGTAGCCAATTCTTATTTATGCACTTGATTGTTTCTCTGTTAATGTTGTGCAATCTGCTATTTTAATTTTATTCTAAATTTTCTATGATGACATGCATTTTTATTGTATCTGTAAAGTGACATGATCAAAAGTTTAATGGCTGTACTGATGAATTTTCATTTTCCATCACATTTTAAAAACTTATACTGTGTGTGTGTGTATATATTTAGGTAGCAATTTTTTTTATTGACAATTTTTTTAATATCTATTAATATAATAGATTATGTTTTTAATATATTTTTAATAGATTATGTTTTTAATATATTTTTAATAGATTATGTTTTTAATAAATTTTTAATAGATTGTTTTTAATAAATTTTAATAGATTATGTTTTTTAATAGATTATGTTTTTAATATATTTTTAATAGATTATGTTTTTGATCTATTTTTAATAGATTATGTTTTTAATATATGAAAAGAACTCATTGTATTTATTATAAGAGAACATCTGTCTGTGTTGAATAAGACTGACATACTAAGCGTCGGTTGAAATAGACTATACCCATGAGGTAATTTTGGATTTCTCTCTTGTTATAGTCTATTTCAACCGACACTGAGTATATCAGTCTTATTCAACTCAAACAAATGTTCTCTTATAATAAATACAATGAGTTCTTTTTGTGGATCAGTTTTAATATTTTATATTATAAGGACCCACTTGGATTTTTTACCTGTAATAATATATATATATATATATATATATATATATATATAAATGGTGTGATGGATAAATTGTTGTCTAAATTACACAAAGTTGAAAATAACACTGACATCTCATTTTAACAAATATATTTACCAAAATTACACGAAAATAATTTTAAATATTAAAGAGTAAATGTTTTTCAATAAAATCGACATTGGCTTCAACCATGGCCTCCAGATGACTTTGGTGTCTCCTGCAACTGTTCTGGATGATCTTCATCCAACTCTTTCCAAATCCTCTGTACTGCCCTCAGATTGACATCCAAACACTCTGAAATGTTTGTATTGGAGCTTCTGGTGTGAATGCCAAGCAGTACAGCATGCCATTTCCAAATTTCTAGCCGAACGAATTGCATCATGGTACTCTTTTTCTCCCAGACGTTGCCCAACTGACCCTACTATACAGTGCAGTTGACAAAATCACAAAAAGAAACGCTGCACATGCACAAAATTAAAAATATAAAAGGCAACGATTTACCCATTGCATCTTCTGTGTGTGTGTGTGTGTATATATATATATATATAAATAAATTAATCTTTGATTAAATTTTCTTTTATTATTAATTTATATTTATTATTACTTATCAGACATGAAAAGTATTGGTTTATATTAAAAAGTAATTTTATAGATCTATTTCTTGTCAAAAAATATTTTTTCTATTTTCCTCTTCATTAGAAATTTAACAAGAACAAATGTAATTTATTTTCTTTTATACTACTAATTACTATTATGCAGTTACTCTTTATGTATAAAATCAAGGGAGAGAGACTAAGGAATTATTCTACTGTCATTAAAACCAACTGTGATCTAAATTTTGGTCTGTTGCCTAGTCTAAATGGTTACTTTATCTAGTACATAAATAAAATATATAGCAAATAAAAACAAATAAGTACTTTAAAATTAAGTTTTACTCTCTATTTTAGCAGACCATCTGATAGAGAAACGCCCCAGTAATCCTGGTCCTGATGATCAAGGGGATTTGGTGATGGAGGAGATGAAGAAAGTCTTTACCCCTGAACTGGCCCACACAGCCTATATTCCTCTGTGTCAAATATTTGGCAGGTGAGAAACAAAGCAGAAACATATTTTAAGTAATATAAAAAAGAAAATAAATTTTCAAAACTTGTCTTCCTGACCTTAAAGTTTTGCTGTTGGTGTCCACTCATCAGGAGAGTTGATAGTTAAATTGTTAAGTTCATTGGAACTATTTAACCTTTTGATGAGCAGAAACTGAAATTGTGTTTGGAAGATATAGTCAGACATTTCATTTGTTTACTATTAATACTCCATTAATATTGAACGCTTCACTTACAACAACTGCTTGCTTTAAAAGCATTAACCTCCAGAAATACACTGGTCCACTATTATTTTTTTTTAATTTATTTATTTTTATTTTTAATTTATTTATTTTTATTTTTAATTTATTTTTAATTTATTTTTAATTTATTTTAAATTTATTTTTAATTTATTTTTAATTTATTTTAAATTTATTTTAAATTTATTTTAAATTTATTTTTTTAAATTTATTTTAAATTTATTTTAAATTTATTTTAAATTTATTTTAAATTTATTTTAAATTTATTTTAAATTTATTTTAAATTTATTTTAAATTTATTTTAAATTTATTTTAAATTTATTTTAAATTTATTTTAAATTTATTTTAAATTTATTTTAAATTTATTTTAAATTTATTTTAAATTTATTTTAAATTTATTTTAAATTTATTTTAAATTTATTTTAAATTTATTTTAAATTTATTTTAAATTTATTTTTTTATTTTAAATTTATTTTAAATTTATTTTAAATTTATTTTAAATTTATTTTAAATTTATTTTAAATTTATTTTAAATTTATTTTTTTTATTTTTAATTTTTCAGTGAAATACAATTTCTGTGTATAAATACAAGTTACAAAATAAATTTCCGACATTTACCTTTCTTGGGTATGGCCTAACCATGTTCATAAAGAAAAGTTTTCCTATAGAATAGAAGAAAAAAAAAGATATGAGGAAAACTGTTTTTAATTTCAGCTGTGTTTCGTCCCTTGACAGACTTTATCAGGGCAAAAGTGAAATGAATTTATTTGAAAACAACGTATCCAATCAAAAACAAAAATTTTTGTTTTGATTGGATTCATTGTTTTCATATGATGGACTCTCCTGTCAATTTTGACATACGAGTATCCGACAACCTCATTCAATTTTTATGTATGTGACACTTCATCCTGTTAGTAACCTGAATGCAAGTCCACATTTTGTGGCCAGTCAATGACGGACTTCAAAATTTCTGATTCCGCTCTGGCACAAATATCTCCACCAGTTATTTCTATTCAAGGCAACTTGCTTGAAGTTAGTATGAAGTAATAAATATATATATATATATATATATATATATATGTGTGTGTGTGTGTGTGTGTGTATTTTTATATATTTCATTGAATACGACAGGCAAGGTGCTTTTATTTAGTTGTTTATACAATTTCTCTTGCGATCTAATAACTTTTTTCTTTTTTTGATGATAAATTATATAAAAACTGTCTGAATGTTCTTTTTATCTGAGCACTTTCAGCTATACATTTAGCCATTTTCAAGGATTAAATATTTTACTGTTAAATAAGAAATAGTTTGTTGTAAGTGTTTTATAAAATGTTTTCATTTTTCAAAACACAGTCAAGTATTATGTCCATGTTCAAAGCTAATATTATTAAGTGTTGTTTTTTTTTTGTTTTTATTAATAAGGCTTCCATTATTTTTAGCCTTTTTTGCATGTAGATGATGCTATTATATTTGTGTTGTCAACATGTATGTTACGAATAAGGTCCAGTAGGTCTCCATGAATATTTAAATGAGATCTAATTGAGCTATGGTCAGAAAGGTGTAGAGTGAGTTTGCATGTCAAACATGTTGTAGTGTGGCCTATATAATTATTTACAAATTTTGATTGATCAGGAATACAATTCCTTAATGGACATTTAAATTTGTAAATAATAAGAACATTTGGACAGTTTTTATATAATTTATCATCTGAAAGGAAAAAAAAATTTAGATTGCACAAGAAATTGTATAAAAAACTAAATAAAAGCACCTTGTCTGTCGTATTCAAAGAAATGTGTATGAAAGAAGGATTGCTGCCTAAATATACACACACACACACACACACACACACACACACACACGTGTGTGTGTGTATGTATATGACTATCCGATCGTTACCCGATAAAACCATGGCAGCTGCTGCTGCTATTAATGCATTGCTCTTCAGTTACAAATTGAGCCCTCTTGGCTATTGGTGCTTGTATACATCCCATATATAATACGTTAAAATTTCCCTTTCTCTGCTATGCGCTGATATTGGGAAAGGTATGAATCCTCTTCTTCTCTCCCCCAGCTATTGGTAAGTAGCAGGCCAAACTGGGTTCTATAGCCTTGAATGGCAACTGGTCTACCACAGAAAGAAATGGCAACCTACTATGGGGAAAAAAATCTGCCTTCTTAGTCATCTATCGAAAGATATGTGATCGCATAAGCGTATATGACGCATGGCACATGACTGACTGATCCACAGTAAGTTTACATCCAGGTTTTTACAACATTTCTCTTTGTTGGCAGATCTTCTATGATGACAATGTGGGATATTTACTAACGAAAGCAATAAATATATTAACAAAAATAAACCAAATGAAATTGGCTACATTATATACCCTCTGTGTACATGTGTGGTTTCATCAATGTAAATATCACTTCAGTCTGATGGAATCCTAAAGGATGAAATGTGTCACACAAAATCTTTTTTTCACTTTGTCATAATTCTTTCTGTAATATATATATATATATATATATATATATATATATATATATATATATTATAGTGTAAGAAAAAACAGTGCTCAATGAGGATTGCAGATGGCATGGAACTTGAGTTGTGCAACCAATGTAGGGTATTATGTATGTTTTTAATATATACTAGCTTAAAAGCCACTTTATTGCGTAGCATTTAAGCTAGCTCCTGCAGAGGGCTCTTGTTTGGGCCTTCATCACATTAGGTAGTTAGGGAGGAGTAGATGCGATAGGCAACAATAAACTACAGAAGAACTCAATTGCTGCATATAAGTATTGCATTAATATGTAAGTGAACCTTTTAAAAATTCAATGATCATCCTTTTGATGCCACTTAATTTAAAGACAATTTGATGTATGTAGGTCCTTACTTTCTGTATAAACAATTATTTTTATTTCATGGGTGACTTTCATTGGATTTTACAATTAATTTTGATTATTCCCAAATTTATTTACAAGTTTAAAAAATTATCATACAAAAAAATTTGTCACAAAAAGAAATCATGTAAAAATTTGTCACAAAAAGAAATCACATAAAAATTTGTCACAAAAAAAATCACATAAAAATTTGTTGAAAAATAATCACTGAAAACAACTGCAGTAATGAAAACTTAGGAATCCAGAATTTCAGGATAGGATTTAATTTGCTCATGGAGTCATCCTGATTCCAAAATGGTATAATATGTTGGGCTATGGCCTTTAGGAGTAAAGTTGAAAAAGTGAGACACGCTGATATTCGCATTTATTATATAGATATATAGTTTTTTCGTGTGTGGCCTGAGTATATACTTAGACCCGGAGTATATACTTTGTTGAAATCTGAGTCATGACATTGGTAGTTTTTAATAATGAAATCTGTAATATCATCTGCACATGAATTAGAAAAACAAAAGGTAATACTTTTTGATAAGGTTAACTAAATAAGAAATGGTCTTTATCAACACATCTTAAATAAATATGGATGGAGTGAACTAAGAAATTCGATTCAGTTACATAAACTAAATACATTAGTTTCTAATAGTAAATAGTCTGTTGGCAAATTTATCCAAATTCAAACCATTAGATATACAACTGGAAGCTCTTATCTTCCATCTAAAATTTACTACCTGATTGCTGAAAAATTATATTATGGATCTAATTATTACAAACTCTCAATGTAATGACTCAGATTTCAACAAAGGATACATTTAGGGTCTAATTATAGACATATATATATATATATATACTTAGATGATAATGAAATCTCATAATCTTTGTGTTTATTTTGCACTTATTCCAATCCTTTATTGCTTTCCCAGCATTCCCAATTCATTCCTTCCTACATTCCTTCTTTCCTTCATTCCCATATCACGGTTAACTTTTGTGGCCATTTGTGGGTGGGACCTCAGCAAATTTCTGTTGGCTTTCATACAACAACTTGGGATATTGCCAAGTTAAAAGTCTGCTCATAGCTTTATCACTCAGACCAGATTATATATATATATTATATATATATATATATATATATATGTGTGTAAAAATGTGTGTGTGTATATATATATATATATATATATATATATATATATATATATAATATATTTTATTATTAAAAAGCTCAATATCAGAGATAGAGCTAACATATTTGGTTGGATTGATGTGAGTTTGTGACCCTGGGTTTCACGCTTTTGTGATCGTCAGACAAAAAGCGTGAAACCCAGGGTCACAAACTCACATTAATCCAACCATATATATATATATATATATATAGTCATCCACAGACTGTTTCACTATATCACAGCTCTTCAGTTTGGCTAGATGTCTGATTGCTTCAAGCTGGGATCAAAAAAAATCAACTGATTTGGCATCAGTCAGAGATTCTACTCACAAGCTATCTTTACTGTTTTTACTATGCAAAAAACGTTAGTAGCTAGGAGAGCTTGATTTGAGTAGAAGAGCATTGCATTAGCAGCAGCCACTGTTTATAAAATCACCCCTTCCTCTCTGAGAGCTCAATCAAATTATTTCAAGAGCCTAAATATATATATATATATATATATATATATATATATATACACACACACTTGATAAAGAAATTTCATAATCTTTGTATTTTGCACATTTTGTTGACAGCATTCACATGGAGCAATCTTTATGGAATGATGACTTAATCCGTCAGTTGTGTAGTCAGCATGACAGCACTTTAGATAAGTTGCCGACTTCAGGTCTTGGACAGTCTTTTGATTCTTCTCTGGGAGGTAAATATACTTTTTATTTTATTTTTTGTTTTATGTTGACTATACTTAGTTATATGAGGATGTAGTGAAAAGATTTTCAGCTCAACCAAAGAACACATTCCACCCAAAATCTCTTGTTTATTCATTTTTGTTAAATTTTGCTAAGTTGGTTAGGCCCCAAACAGACACAGAAAACTGCAGGAACTCTGAGACATGGTTGGAAAGGAAAGTCAGAAGAAAGGACTAACCATCAATTGTAAGAAGATAGAATGTAAGGTCATTAGCAAGAAGGCTAGCTCAAGAAACACTAAAAATTGGCAACATCAAAATTAAGCAAGTACAGAAATTTGATTATATTTCTGAGATGAGGTATTGTAATTATTTATATTATTTGGACTGTTGTTCTCATCTTCGTTGTCATATTCACAATATTTTCACTGTTGTACACTCAGGCTTTCTTCAGGTGATTGAAATTTCAAATTGAAACCTTTGTTTTGTCTACCTGGGTAGATTGTTCTAGTTCCATCTGCCATGCCTTTTCCGGATGTCTCAGTATCAGTTATCTCCCTTTAACTCAATTCTCCAAGTTTTGTTCACCTCTGCTAGGTATTGAACTCACAACTCTTTGGGTCAATTTACTGGATTCAACCAACGCTTTGAGTACATCAGTGTGTGAATCTTTGGGCCTTAAACCTAATGTCTCAGTAACCATTTTTACCAGAGCTCATATTACAATTTTGTTGTTATTGTTTTTCTTTAGCCCTCCATCTTACTGGTTCTCATTGTATTCATTTCTATGATTGGTCGGCTTAGGAGATTTTTGTTACCTAGCATATGTTATGATTCCTTAAGTTTTAGTAATTTCCAGTGATGTTCTCTATTATTTCAACCTTATCCCACAGGGGAAGTGACCTCCCTTTTCTCTCCATATGTGATCAGCTATGCCTGATTTTTCTATTTCCTCTCATGTTATAGGTTTATGGTGCTCCTGCAGTCTTATCTTAAGGGTGTGGTAATTTTCTCCTTATTACTAATGTTTCTGTCCCTAATTCCTCTACACCCTGTAACATCTGCATGCTAGTAGTTGCTTGGGGTGATACCAATTTAAAAAAAAAAAAAAAAAAAAAAATGGGTGTGGTCTCCATGCTTTGTGGGGATCAAGGTTAGAGACGATAGCAGAAACCATGGAAGGGGTTATATGCATATCGCTCAACAGAGAATTGGTTCTAAGTGGGAAGTTAAGCTGGGATACTTCAGATGAATCAAGAGTAGTTTGAGGAGAATTTACGGGCAAAGCATTTGGCTTTATCAACAGAGGATAACACCTTAAATTGATTGAAGAGTGGGTGAATAGAGACCTTGCATTTATTTAGTACTTTATTACAAAGACACCAGTAGTCATGAGAGCCAAAATTTTTAGAGTCTATACAGTGCCGAGACTTAGCTTCTTTGAGGACTCGCTTACATTTTTTACGAGCAGTAGCAAATAGGCATGCATTATGTTGAAAGCTGTAATGCTTGTATAGCTGGAAATAGTGGTTCCTATGAGCTATGGTGTCTGAACATACTGGTCTGAGCCATGGAGAGGTTTACGGTTTCACCTGGTATTTCTGAGAAGGGATGAAAGCGTCTAAGAAACCTCAGTGGTGCAATTTTCAATTGGGTGGTTGAAGATGTCAGTTCAAGTGATGTCACAAATTTTAAAGGGAGATAACTGATACTGAGACATCTGAAAGAGGTATGGCACGTGGAACTAGAACAGTCTACCCTGGTGGATGAAATGAAGGGTTCAGTTTGAAATTCCAATCACCTGAAGAAGGCCAGAGCATACAACAGCTGAAACATCCTGACTAAGGCAACAAAGATGAGGACAACAGTCTGAACAATCTGGAAAGTGTTATAGCAAAACAATGGAAAATATGGCACAGAAATTCAAAGGTGCATTGGAATAGAAAAAGATGTCTTTCTAAATTTAAGCAAAGTATTAAGAAACAGGAAAAATACGTCAGAAGCAAAGAAAAGTTTGTTGTTCTTATATGTAATATCAGTCCTTCTCTATGGCAATGTTGAACAATCTCCTCTCAGATGAAGAGGAGACTTGTGGCAATTGAGATGTTGTTCTATAGAAGGCTGTTGAGAGTACCATGGACTGAACATGTGAGTCTTAAGCTTATTTTAAAGAATAAAGAAAATCCTTTTCTTGTTAAGGTCTCATCATTTTACAGTTGAAATGGCTAGATGTAATTGTAAGTTCTATGCTAATAGTTTCTTCTATTGTACTTCTTGCTTATGGAACTCTCTTCCAGCCTCTTGCTTCCCAGTTAACTTTGACCTTCAAAAATTTAAATGCAATGTCAATCATTATCTTCTGTCTCTTTAATTCCTGTTCTGTTATTGTTACCTTTCCTTAATAGTTTTTTTTTCTCATATTCTGTAACACTCAGTAGCCCCTTGTGTCTTAGTGGTTTTATTTTCTTACTTGGGTTGAAATGATTAAAAAAAAAAAAAAAGTAGACAGTTGAAGTCTTGATATAAAAAGTGAGGTTTTAGAATTCTCAAGTGGATAGTTGAACGTGAAACAGTTACAATATGGGGACAGTCAATGTGAAAAAATGTTGATATAGGCTTTATTATCCTTGATCATCTTAGATAAAGGTTTATTGAAAAGTTGGCTGCTTGAGAGAATTTCCATCACTTTTTTTTTCTTTTTTGATAGAAATTTTCAACATGTCTCTGCTTCTTATACAACTAAATTTATATATATTTAATTTTCAGCATTTACAGTGAACAATTTGAGTTTTGTATATTATGTACATATGCATGTGTACCCTATATAGCTTTTGACATTTGTGCACAAAATATTTGAATATCTTGAAATACATATTGAAAATTTATTTTCATTATCTTTGCTCTATTTAATTTCTAATTCTTATGATGATTTCCCACAGCCTCTACTCCAGATCTTGAAACGCCAGATGACACAAAATCAAGTAAGTAAAATATCTGTTCTACTCCAGATCTTGAAACGCCAGATGACACAAAATCAAGTAAGTAAAATATCTGTAGTCACAAAGGATGGTTCTTAGATATTTTTTTATTTTAAGACTTGCATCTAGAATAAGCATTTCTGTAGTCAGGGAGACTCTATAATTTTGAGAAGCTATTATCATTCTGGAGGATATTCAAACTATTCTCAAAATCACGAAACCTCTTCTCAACAGGGAGGAAGTTGGAGAGTATCTCTGAGTATAAATAGGGAATCTCCTGTCTTACATGAGTGGCTGAGAATGGTGTAGTCTGTGTGACATGTTCTTAGGAAGGATCAGAATTATTGTTATAATATCTGACGTCTCTGCTACAAATGTCTCTCAACTTGGACCTTGTATATTGGGGCTTTTAATATAAAGCTGATTGATAGAAAAGAACTCTTTTAGAAGTGTAGTGGCCAACAAACAGAATTGATAAAGTTTCCAATAAAAAATAACAAACAAAGGAAAAGAACAGGGAAAAATAATACTAAGCAAACAATATATACACTGTTTACATTATTCGGACTATTGTCCTCATCTTTGTTGCCATATTTATTACATTTCGGCCATTGTATGCTCCGGCCTTCTTCAGGTGGTTGGAATGTCGAACTGAACCCTTTATTTTGCTCATTGGGGTAGACTGTTCTAGTTCCACATGCCATGTTTAATTCACCTCTCCAAGTTTTCCACTGCCTTAACTGGATATTGAACTCAAACTCTTTGTGTCCTGTCACTGGATCTAACCAATGCCTTTATCCACTGTGCCATGTGTCCTTGAGTGAGCGAAATAAAGGGTTCAGTTCGACATTTCAACCACCTGGAGAAGGTCGGAGCATACAATGGACGAAACGTTGTAATAAATATGGCGACAAAGATGAGGACAATAGTCCGAATAATGCAAATAGTGTACATAATATCTCATCTCAGAAATATAGACAGATACCAAACAATATATGCAAGATAAAACTAGGCAAAGCAACAAAGGCAAAAAATTCAAAAAGTAAGAATGATGTTAACATGCAAAAGGGATATGATTGATTGTTGTGTTCCGAATTGAAGACAAGAAAGAATAAAAATATGTCAGATGAGACCAAGAAGTGGTCCATTTTATTGGTTTGGGAGAAATACCAGCATGCATCTGTATGTTTTGTCTATAAATTTGGAGAGGGGGTGTTTTTAGGAGTCATTCTCTAGATTGAAACCCATAAGAAGCCTGACCTGTCGAAGCACAGAAATTTAGTCTTGCACACTGAACATTGCGCATTGTCTTTCACAGAAAGTTAATAAAGTGATCTCTATTGTCCCCCATAACATTCCAAAATACTTGCATACATTTACCAAAAAGTCAACATATGATTCAGCTTAAACTTTATAAATTCCATATTTAAAAAAATTTTTTTTCTATATTTTAGTGGAAAGCTCACTGGATAGCAAAGAGAATGATGCTAGCCTCGGAGGCATTGGCAGCAATGTAGCTGTTGTTGGCAATCGCATACAATTGCAGCATCCATTGCGTTCTGGTCATCCAGACATGCCCCACATCAACAGGGCATATAGGCACACTGGCATCCTTAATATTGGACAGGATGATTTGAAAAGGTAAGTTCTCACATTTGTTATTTCAATTCTTATAAACAATCTCTGGAATTTTATATTCTTTATAGTTTTAAACTTGACAGTTGCCACTAAGTCTGCATTACTTACTCCAGGGATTGAACTCACAATCACTGTCATGAAATTCCTGACCCAACTTTTTAATCCACTTGGCTAGTTTCCGAAGTCTTAAACTCATTGGAAACTGGACAAGCAATAGGAAATAAGGATAGGAGCAGATATATCCATGGATATAGTGGAACCAGAATACACTATCTCTATAGATTAAAAAAAGTCCTCTATCTCTATAGATTAAAACAAGTCCTCTATCCCTATAGATTAAAAAAAGTCCTCTATCTCTATAGATTAAAAACAAGTCCTCTATCTCTATAGATTAAAACAAGTCCTCTCTCTATAGATTAAAAAAAGTCCTCTATCTCTATAGATTAAAAAAGTCCCTCTATCTCTATAGATTAAAAACAAGTCCTCTAATAGATTAAAACAAGTCCTCTATCTCTATAGATTAAAAAAATAGATTAAAACAAGTCCTCTATCTCTATAGATTAAAACAAGTCCTCTATCTCTATAGATTAAAACAAGTCCTCTATCTCTATAGATTAAAACAAGTCCTCTATCTCTATAGATTAAAACAAGTCCTCTATCTCTATAGATTAAAACAAGTCCTCTATCCCTATAGATTAAAAAAAGTCCTCTATCTCTATAGATTAAAAAAAGTCCTCTATCTCTATAGATTAAATAAAGGGCTAATTTCTAAATTCCCTGAAGGTGTTACCTAGATCAATAAGCACCTACCTAAGAGTGCACTTAACTGGTCAAAACTTGGTAACTATTGATGTTTTCTATAAATTTTAAAATTTTCTTGCTTTTATATATTACTTCAAGGGTTTCCAGTAATTTTATTTTTTTTCTCTTTGTAAGCCTGAATATTTCTTCCCAATATATCTTAGCTATATTTTTTTTTCTGCCACATATGGCCCGGTGCTCTTGCTATATATTTAGAGATTCTTGATAAAATCCAAAGAAGAATCTGCAATATTATTAGGCCCGACCTGGCATCTCTGTTTCAGTCACTTTTCCACCACCATAAAGTTGCTTCCCTGTGCTTTTTCTATAAGTACTTTCTTGGTAATTGTTCAGATGAGTTCTTTGCTATGGTACCTAGACTTTATGAATTTAAGTGCAGTACTAGACTGGTAATGAAGTCTCATCAATGTACAATTGAAATGGCTAGATGTAAGCATGAGTTTTGTGCTAAAAGTTTCTTTTCTCGCACATTCTGCTTGTGGAACTCTCTTCTGGCTCCATGCTTTCCAGTTAAATTTGATCTTCAAAAAATGTAAACACAATGTCTATCATTATCTACTGTCTTCCTGATCACTCTTTAGTAATGTTCCTACGTCCTAATTCTTTCACACTCCGTAATCCCTTGTGTCCTGGTGGCTTTACTGCCTTGCCTGCAGTAAACCTGATTAAAAAAAGAAAAAGAAAAGATTCTTGAATCCATTACCGTCTCAGTCCCCTTAGTTGAAATGGTGAAACTTATAAATTATAGTATGTATAATTGTTTCCATCAGCGAGCAGATTGCAAATGCTATAACTTGACCAGCTGTAAGAAACTGAGGTTTGTATAAGAATTAATTTTCAAATTCTGTTTTTTTTGTCTTGTTTATTCATATTTTTTGTTTTATTTAATTAAAAGAAAATTTTTTTACGTATCTACCAAAGAGTTCTCTTTAATGGCCAAAATCCATTATTCTGTCACATGTCTTAGTGGCTTTATTGCTTTGGTTGTAGTGAAATGATTAAAAAAAACAACACACCTAGAAGAAGGCCAGAAGACACAATAACTGAAATGTGACAATAACAACAAAGATAAGGTCAGTATTCAGAATGCAAATAATGATAATTCCTGATCCCCTAAATTCAGACAGAAATTATTGAATCAGTCTATATGTTGTGCACTGAAAAGGGATCATCAGTGGTCAGGAATTGATGTGTCATTGACAGAATATTGATATCTCTATCTGTTTAAAAGCTGCCAGAAGTAGCCATGACGTTAAATATCAAATCATGTCTTTATAAAATTTACATTATTAGTAAATAAATAAATAGATGACGTTGTGTTTGTGTAAGATTTAGCCAGATTATCTCAGTCTATAACTACTGAGTAGTAAATTTGATCCTCACTGTGTACCTCAGTGATGTGGCTTTGTGCTAAACCACTTGTGCTACATTTAGTAAATAATAATAAATAGAGGGAGACTACTCTGTAATTAGCTAAATTCTAACAACATTTAAAATATAAAGTTAGCTTTATTTGTATTCCTGCTAATCCCTAATTAGTAGGAATCTCATGTTAAATGATTTTGGAATTGACAAATCAGGCTGAAAGGTATCTGGTTGACATGTGAAGAGTTGCGGAAAGTTCTCATCCCTATCATGAAGGTATTCCCAAAAGAAAATTCGGATATTTGGCCAGATTTTTGAAAATGGGCTGGAAGGAACATTTCAATATCTCATACCTCATGTAAGCAGGACTGACCAAGAAAACTGTGTTCAAATTAGCAAAAAAGCACCAGGAAACATGTTCATCACAAATAGACTTATACAGTGTTTGGCCTAAAATATCTCGTACATATACCTCCCAGAAATACCTTCCGCACAATAGTGAGACATTAGTGGAAGTAGTGTCTTCATCTGGCTAATATTTTACCATTATGTGGGTGGCCCTTCTGGTAGACATGTAGGCAGCAGTTCTGCTGTACTCTGTATAACAGGGACAAAGTGACAACAAATTCCTCACTTGGTATAAAGTTTCTCTTCAAAGTAGTTTAATAAAGTTTACTAATTTCTATAAAAAATGTTTCTTTTGTTCATGTTCTTATAAGAGCAGGTTACCTGAAAATCTCAAAATTATTTTTCTAAATTTTTATTTACATTTTATTTATTTTTCTCTTTTATTCTAGCACAGAAATAGAATCGAATAATCAGCGTCATCTTCGAGGGAACTGGTTGGCCTATTGGGAACATGAACTGGGTGAGGACAAATTTTGATTTTCTTTTTTGATCAGGACCCGCCATGCTGCATACACAACATCAAATCATCATTCTTTTCATATTCCATTAATAAGGAGGAAGTTCAACTTAGCTTCTTCCCCAGAGTTGTCACCTTTCCCATAGTAACGTTGCTAGCTTCTCACTACTCCATCCATATTTTTATGACAGATCTTCTGTAACTTCTGGTGTTTAGTCCCTGGTCAATGCTGCTACTAGCCATTGGAGTTGGTTATTCTGATCTGCCCTACATTGTGTTGATTGATCACAGAGCTGACAAAGGTCAAGTTGTTGACACTGGCAAGTGGAAAGAAAAGGATTCAAACTAAAATATAACTTGGAACACAACAAAAAGGTTTAAAGAATGGAATGATAGACAGACTGAGAGAAAGATTTCTTTTAATTTTAAAAGTCTATTTTTTTTGAGCAGGGTTGGCTTGAAGAAGGTAACTTTGTTGGAAAGATATTACCACAGAGGCCATCTGGAAAAAGCTTGGCTGACAATTCCTTAATGGTGCTGCCTTAAATTGGAAGTTAAGAAAACAGCTCCTAGGAATCAGCCAGGAAAGGAAGCCAATTGAAGAGATAATATTTGGTAATTTTTAAAAACAAAGCAGAATTGAAATCTGATTCATTTCACCTGTAAAAGTGGGAATTGTTAACAAGTCGAGAAAATAGAATTTCTTTATGTAAGGACCCAACCCTGGGTTCTTAAAATGCAATGATCCTAACAAGATGGGGAGATAAGCTGCCTGCAGGAAACAGCTGGTAAATTTCTGATTGTATAAACAAGATCAGGCTAGGAAAAATTTGCTGACAAGAAAATTAAAATGAAAATTCTAATGAGCAGAAACTAAGCCATGCAACGTGACTTGAGAAGCAGATTTGTCAAAAGGACACCCAAGGTGACAGGCATAGGTGAAATACCAAGAAGGACGGAAGAATTGCCTAAGCCCATTGGGAGGTGTTGGTACGAGGTACAAATAAGAGAAGGAAGGAGTTATCAGGGTGGATCAATACCTGTGACTGCTGCTCATAGGAAAAGGGATCTCCCCAAATTTGGAGATAAAATTTTCCAGAACCAGACAATAAAGGTCTTCTTTTTTTTTTTTTGTAAGATAAGAGAAAAATCAGGTACACTAATCATGTTGACACCCGTGCAGAACATTGAAGTGACCGAGAGCTCCAGAGACGCCAGTCCCAGAATGCAGATGATGAGAGACGACCACTCTGCTGAATCCTACATCATTTGCTACCAGAGAGAATCTCCATTTTAAGCCTTGTTCCAGACTTAGCTAGTGTCACAACAGAATTCAAAGTGAGAAGTTGTCACATTAGATTTTCAGTGTTTTTTTTTTTTTTTTACTTAGAAAAATAATTTGTTGTTTTCCTTTTTTTAAAACTTTTTTTACTTTAACTGGTTTCGCTTAGCTTTTCAAAAAGTTTTTAACTGTTTCTCTCTCCACATTAGGTTTTGTACCAATGAAAAAATGAAAATCAAAGAGTGTAACTGGCTATATATGTCATTTGTGGTAAGGGGAATTTGGTAGAATCTATTTATGCAATGAATTAAGTATGGTTTTGAACTTGTTGATGAAAAATGATTCCTTATTAATCCGCCATTGTTCAGTGGTTCTGTAGTCACATTGGTAGGATGGGAAGACACTAAAATTTGGTAGATTTTGTCCTCTGCATTTCTCTATATGTTGGCTAAGGGGTATTTTTCTGGTATGGGGGTCCCTAATTTGTTGGTGATGAACTGTCATCTTTTGCCAGAGTGACTGGCTGGTTTGGCCAATGTAATGTTCATGGCAACCTTTGCAGGTAATTGTGTATATTAAATTCTCTGAGTTGCACGAGAAATCATTTTTAATTTTTAATTTTGATCTGACTTTGAACTGAAATTTATCGCTCTCTAATAGGTAGTTGTATACTCTGCAAAGTGGTCAGTTGCATTTTTTCACCTGAGGGTCTTTGTGTTCTGCGATTTTGCATTTGTCAGTACCTTTTTTAGTGATTTAAGTTGTTGTTTACTTTTTATGATTGTATATTTTTGTAATAGACTTTTCATTTTTTTGTCCTTTAGTAGGATTGGTAGATATAGTTGTATGTAGATTTCTGTGTTCTTTGGGTTGAAATATTGGATTCTTTTTTTTTTTTTTTTTTTTTTTTTCCAAACCTCATTTTAGTCTATACAATAAGTTTTTGTACAGAATCTTTCTAACAAAATTGTTTTTTTACCCATATATATATATATATATATATATATATATATATTTTTTTTTTGTACAGGACTCAGTGATCGTGCATCAGTGTTCAACTTTAAACATATCAAACTCCAGACCTTTTTGGGTGAGTCTGAACATCTCTTAATAATGAATTTTGCATCATGTTTGATATCTGCTCAGAGCTGACTCTCTCTTTTTTTTTTTTTTTTTTTTTTTTTTATTTTATTTATTCGATTGTATAATAGAAGTTGACTTATTAAGTATAGTGGACTTCTTGTGCTTTAAATTTTCTATCTTGCATTTTCAACATTACTCACTTTTGGTTTACATGTTGCAATATAACTAAATATTAACAGAAAAGAAAATTTGAAAAATAAACTATATTTCTGTCTTGTATTTACAGGTCACAATACCAGTATCAGGTCACTTTGTGTTTTGGACAATGAAAACTCCTTCATTAGCGCCAGCAAGGACAAGACAGTCAAGCTGTGGTCATTAACCAGTTTTGGAGACGGTTCCGGGAAGTATGTAACAATATTATATATTGATTTTCTAAGCATAGCTTAGATGTGGCACAAGGCCAAAAGTATGGGGCACCAAATATGTATCAAACTCGCTACTCTGTTGTAATTGTTCTAGCAAGAAAAGCTTGCTGACCATTACACTGCCTTGAGGTGCCCTAAATGATTTTCTAAGTGTAGCTTAGATGTAACACAAGGCTGAAAGTGTGGAGCACCCAGTGAGGATAGAACTCACTACTAAACCGTAACGGATCTAGCAAAACAACTGCCTTGAAGTGTAGTGGATGCACAGTGGAGTATGGCTCAGATTGAGGAATCAGAGTGCCAAGTTTGAATTCCAGTCAAATCCATTACATTCACTTACATGGGAAAGGTATGAATTCTCCCCCCAGCTATGGGTAAATAGCAGGACAGACTGGGTTCTGTAGCTTTGGATGACAACTGGTCTACCGCAGAAAGAATGCCAACCTACTGCAGGGAAAAAAAATCTTCCTTGTCAGTCATGTATCGAAAGATACATGATCACCTAAGCGTGTATCACATATGGCACATAACTGACTAAAGCATAGTTTAGATGTGGCAGAAAGCCGAAAGTATGGGGCACATAGTGAGAATCAAACTCCCTATTCAGTTGTAACTGACCTAGCGAGACAAGCTTGCTAACCATTACACCATGTCAAAGTGCTCTAACAATATTACAATATAGTGGGGAGGCGGGGAATAAAACTATAATCAGGGTTGTATTTTAGCATTGACTGCATCTGAACCTTGTATTAATTAGACAAGTTATTTTTTTTCTTTTCTTATCACTAGCCCTCGAGTTTGCCACTGTTTTACCACTTATAGCCTTAATTGTTTTCTGCTCAAACTTTATTTAAAAAAATTATTTGCAACTTTCAAAAATAACAAAAGGTTCCAAAACAGCAAAAATCTTGAAAATATGAAAATTTAAAAAAAATAACAAAACTTCCCAAACATCAAAGGTCTCAAAACAGCAAAAATTCTAAAAAATATCAAAACATCCAAAAATAGCAAAATGCCTGAAAATGGCAGATATTCAAAAAAACAAACCAAACCCGAAGGTCCTAAAACAGTAAAAACATCCCAAAACAGCAGAAATTCTGAAAATGGCAGATATTCAAATAACAAAACCAAACCTAAAGGTCCTAAAACAGTAAAAACATCCCAAAACAGCAGAAATTCTGAAAATAGCAAAAGATCTCAAAATAGCATGTGTCTGTAAAGACTACTGCTCGATGTTACAAAAATGATACTGCTAACCTCTCAAAAGGAAGAGCTTATTACACTCAAGGACCCTGTAATTAGTCAAAGAAATTTATATAAGCTGCCAAGTTTTCTATGAAAGAGAACTAGAAACAATATCTGAGTTTTTTATTTTTTTTTTAACAATTTTCAGTGGCCAGTACATGCAACACATTTTGGTGTTTTGTTTAATGAGGGCAAACTACTATTTGGTGAGGTCATCTACTATTTTTGTTGTGACACAAATTAAAAATTTAATGTTAGCTGTGGTGGGGGTGATTAAACATTGAATTTTTCAATTTTTCCTCTAAGTTTTGTTTTGTCACTAAACCTGCCTATTGAAACTCATGAAGATAGGTATTGTAATAAACTGAAATTCAAGTGTTTGAAATTAATTTTTATGACCGCAACATTTTGCTTCACTGCTGATTTAGACAATCTCATTCTTCTTCTATGTGCCGTGTCGCTTCGGGATGAAGGCGATCATGGCTCTCTACAATTTCCTGTCCTTTGTAGCTCTTAGTAAATTTTTTCTTTTAGCTATCTCTCCTAATCCCTGTTCTGCCAACCATTTACACAAGTTTATAAGGTATGTCCATTGAATAAGGAGACCAGGTCTTGCCTTCACAATGTCCTGAGAATCTGAAGCTCCCATTCCTCATTATTTGCCTGAGAAATTTCAATTCATGTATTAAATTCTCTCTTTTTAAATATAAGAATCCTTCTTATCTATATTTCTGAGCTGAGATATTGTATTTATTTATTATTGTTCGGACTGTCCTCATCTTTATTGCCATATTCACAACATTTCGGCTGTTGTATGCTCCGGCCTTTTCAGGTGATTGGAATTTCAAACTGAACCCTTTATTTTGTCCAGCAGAGTAGATTCTTCTAGTTCCATGTGCCATGCCATTTTTGGATGTCTCAGTTATCTCCCTTTAACTCAACTTGCCAAGTTTTTGTTCACTGAACTTGCAACAATTTGGGTCAAGTCACTGGATCCAACTAACGCTTTTATCCATTGTCCTTGAGGGCATAAGTGTATGAATTTTCAGGACTTATAAACTTAATGTTTCAGTAACCATTTTTTTTTTTTTTTTTTACCAGAGCTTATATTGCAATTTTCTTGTTATTATTGCTTTTCTTTAGCACTCTGTATTCCCATATTGTATTTATTTCTTGGCCAGCTTAGGAGACTTTTTTTTTGTTGCTTAGCATATGTGCTGATTCCTTAAGTTTTTGTATTTCAAGACATCCCGAAGAGTCCTAGTATGTGGAGCCTGGTGGTCGAAATAAAGGGTTCAGTACAAAATTCCAATCACCAATAGAATGCTGGTGTGTACAATGGCCAAAACAGTGTGAATATGGCAATAAAATCTAAATAATGTAAATAGAATCCTTTTTGTTTTTATTTTTCTTTAAAATTTCATTGGTGCTCACATGTTCAGTCCATGGTATTCTTAGCATCATTCTATAGAACCACATTTCTGTTGCTTCAAGTCTGTGAGGAGATTGTTCTGCTTTCACTGCCATTGTAAGATCAGTTACATGAGAGTTCAGTACCCTTTTCTTTGTTTTGAACAAGATTTTCCTGTTTTTTAATACTTTGCTTAACTTTTAGAAATCATTTTTTGGTATCACAATGTACCTCCCAATTTTCAACCTCTGCTATAAAGCTTCCCATATACTTAATTCTTTTGTACCTGTTTGATTTTTGGTATCTCTAATTTGTAATTTGTGTGTTGGGCCATTCTTTTTAATAACAACTGTGCATCCTATCTTCTTGCAGTTGATGTCTAGTTCTTTTTGTTTGCTTAATTGAACATTTTCCCAGTATTATTGAACTGTCAAACTAATGTTGAGCTTTTATTTTTCAGATGTGGATGTCAATGGACATATCGCTTGCATAAGAAATCCGTCTTCAGTGTTGGATTCTTGGAGAGCGTACGATTAGTGGCATCCTGTGATAGCACTGTACATGTATGTTAAATTGTTACAATCATTTTTATGTCCTGTCTTTTATCAGGAACTAGTTTATCTATGTTGTAAAGAAAGAGGTGGGGGCAGCATATTTTCTTATGTCCTTACTATTATTTGTAGTAAATGAAATAAAATCTTATGGTTCTATTTATGAGAGTTTGATAATGCTTCACTGTGGCTTATAGTTGTATATCTGTGATTAGTTGGTGGTGAATTGGTTGACTTTGTTTTTAGTCAATTAAATTTTATGACTGAAGTTCGAAACTGACAAAAAAATTACAGAAGAATAAAATAGATATTTATGAATTATTATATATGGAGATATCATATATAAGATAATATATATAGAACATATATATTTTCTATAATAAATTTTAATAATATAATTAATTATAATAATAATATAATAGAAATAATATATATAATATATTTGTATGTGTGCCATCCACAGACAAACCACTGTATCTCAGCTCATCAGTGTGGCTAGACATCCGATTGCCTCAAGCCAGGATCAAAACCTAACTATATATATATATATTATGGAAATAAAAACAGCAAGATGAGCTTTACCTCCCCACCATATTAATAATGTGATATACCAATTTGGATGTAGTTGTGGAGCTGATTACTTAGGCAGAACTACCTAGTGGTTAGACACACGGATAAATCAGCACGTACCTGGAAAAATTAGGAATGGTATGTTCCAATCTAGTGACAAGGTCATGAACACATATGGTTCCGCCATTGTTGAGCACCTCATAAACAATCCAAGTTGTGCCACCAATTTCAGCATTGACTCATTTTCCATCCTTAGTCATGCTCATTCTGTGTTACACTTAAAGGTATTGGAAACAATTTATCTCAGGTCTGGACAGCCCTCCCTCTGTAAACAGAGGGAATGCCTGTTAGGGCTTGACATGATTTCCATCTGATCTTTCCACCTTTATTTCATCACATGCTACTCATGTTTTGTATTGTAATATTTAATCTTCCCTTGATTTCAGCTCAGTTGAGTGAGGGTGAAACTGGTCGTCTGGTTAATTTTTTTTCTTTTTTTTTTTAATCATGAATGGTAAAAACTTGTCTTGGCATTTTTATTTCCATAATAAAATTTTATACTCCTAAGAAAATGACATATATATATATATATATATATATATATAAATTAATTGATTTAAAATATATTATTTTTAGCTACACAGTTCCAACCATGTTTCAAAAAATATATAAAACCCTAATTTCATCTTCAAGCGAAAAAATAAAATAAAATATCTATAAGAACACGGAATCTTACTGTTCTTTCTTTTTATTTATATATATATATATATATATATATATATATATATATATATATATATTACATAAAAAGAATAGACATAAACTTTTATGATTGCCAAAGTTTGAAGTTGACAAAAAAAAACATTACACATGTTTTTCTTAAGCCAAATTCCCCCACCCCAATTTACCAAATCCCCCTACTCCAATTTGTCAATTCTCCCCTTGCCAATTTTATTGCACCTTGTATAAGGTGAACTTTAGCAAAAAAAAAAATAATACAAAGAAATTCTGATTAATACTTTTAAAATAAAATTAAAATAGGCATTACATTTGTAACAATCTTGTATATTTTTTCTTTCATTTTAAAAAAAATTGTTTGTATATTTTTTCTTCTTGCTATTAATTCAATGAAAGTTATTTTTATTATAAATCCCAAACTTCAATGTTGTTTCCTTGTTTTCAAAGAAAGAATTATTTGCAACAATGGAAGAGAAACTGATGTTTCCATTCTTTGTTTTTCAGATCTGGGATCCGTTCCGTGGGGAATGCGTGAGGCAGTTGGAATCTTCAAAGAACAGTCCAGTGATTGCCCTTGCTCCAATTCCAGCTCCCAGTTGTATGATGATAACAGCTACAAATGATTCTACTCTCAGGTTGGCCTTGTCTGCTTTCTCTTTAAAACATTATCTCCAAATGAGTTTGAAACCAGAAGTGAAACCCAAAGCATGAGGTCAAGCGTGCTATTTACTATTAAAGGAGAGATAACCCACCTAGGGCAATGGCTCTTTAGTCATATTCAATGTAATCCTCTTCAGACTTCACACTACATATCCCAGCGTACCTGCAAAGATTTTTTCTGCATAGCTGCCAGATGCCTTGTGTTTGTTTTAAGTTAATCCAGTTTGTTCTCAACTTATTTTGCCCCCTCATTCATCCTTTTCACCATAAGTCAAGATGTCACCCCCCACCTTTCCAAGATTGTCCGATTCGAAAGGTGCATTCCAAATAATATGCATATATTATTGAAAATCTTCATTCTTTTCCCTATTAGTACGTATACATTTACATAAATTATTTTCGTAGTGGCAAAAAGCACCAGAGGTAGTGGAAAGAAAACCCAGTGTGACCTCTCAGTTCCACGGGCTGCTTCATCTTGCACATTGTGCCACCTTGGGGAGTCGGAAAGTTAACATTTTGAGTCTACCAATCTGTGGCCCCAATTCACCACTGGTCGAGAACCCTGGATCTATTTTAATTTCCTAAATATTAACTCCTTTGGCTGGGTAGAGCAGATTTAGACTAACTGGAAATAAGGTGAGCAAAAATGTTACCATTCCCTCACCATGGCTACAGAAAAGTGCATTAAAATGGTACCATTCACTCACTAATGGCTATAGAAAAGTGCATTAAATTGATACTATTGCTCCACCATGTCTATAGAAAACTGCATTGAAATGGTACCGTTCCCTCACTATGTCTACAGAAAAGTGCATTAAATTGGTACAATTCATTTACCATAGCTATAGAAAAGTGCATTAAATTGGTACCATTTCTTCACCATGGCTATAGAAAAGTACATTAAATTGGTACCATTCCCTTACCATGTCTACAGAAAAGTGCATGGAAATGGTACCATTCTCTCACCATGTCTACAGAAAATGCATTAAATTGGTACCATTCCATCACCGTGGCTATAGAAAAGTGCATTGAAATGGTGCTGTTTCCTCACCATGTTTATAGAAAAGTGCATTAAATTGGTACCATTCCGTCACCGTGGCTATAGAAAAGTGCATTGAAATGGTACCGTTTCCTCACCATGGTTAAAGATGGAAGAAACCAATAAAGTGAATTAAAAATTACAATCTCGTTTTTATTTTCTTACATTTGGACCAGTTTTATCTTTTTTTTTTCTTGTCACAAAGTTTATTTCAATATAAACCTACTCTGACCTTTGCTTTGGTATCTTTTGTATTTACTAACCCTCTTGGATGGCGTATTAACATGATTATCAATAAATTAAGAATTCGTTTAATTTACTTTTTTTTTTTTCTACTGTGGAGGATTACGAAATGATGTTGTAAGGGCAAACAGGGAGGGAGCAAGTGTGGCATATTATGAGGATATGTAGGATAGATAATGGTTGACCTTAAACTTGAAGATGTTAAGATTGTAGTGAAGCATCCTCTTAGGACTTTGTTCTATAATGAAATTGTTCTAGAGAAGAAGCTGAGAGTAGAAATTTGTTCTTACAAATGGAATATGAAAGGAATTGCAGATGATACACTTCAATGTATGTGGCATAGCAAGTCCTCTCGCTCTATAAGTCTAGACTGGTGGAACCAAGGAATATATCTAGCTTGACTATCTGTCAAAAAAATAGTGTTAGTTGTGAATAGCTCAAAATATTTCTGCAGGAAAGGGCTTCTAGGGTGGAAAACAATTTATCATCCATGCAAAAGTCTTGTGTTCTTGGTTGTCTCGTGATCACCATGCTACTACATAAAACTGTATCAACTAAAAGTGTCATTTACTTTTGGTATTTATTTTATTAAGAGTGGCAGCTTGGATTCTAAGAGATTGTAGGAGGAATGACATGACAGGAACACATGCTGCATGTTGGCTCCATCCACATGTGGTATTAGCTGGTCTCTCAACTTGGATGTGGGAGGCATATCGATGCTTCAGAATTCTTGAAACCCTCTGTTGAATTTGTACTGTTTTGGACTTATATCCAAAACCCAGACGAAGGCAATCCATCACTGTCGGAATGTCCCGTTCATGACTAATTGCTGACCATTCTGGCTTTGGCCTTCACATTCTGTCATAAAATCTCAGCAAATGCTTTTGAACTCTGCCAAGAATTGGTGAGCCAAGTTCAAATTTCTGCCTAGTCTGTTTCATTTGCCTTCAAACATGCCCTTGGGAAAGGCATGAATTCATATCTTCTCCTAACAATGATTTAAATAGCAGGGTAGACTGGTCTCTCTAGTCTTGGGTAGCAACTTGCATAAAGGAAGACTATTAAAAAAAAATACAACAAGAGAATAGGAAATCACTTTTTTTTTTTTTTCTTGGATTTCATGGCAATTTGCAGATAATAAAAAAAGAAACTGTGGAGAGCTATGATCATATGTTGTTATAGATGAATATAGCATTAAATAAAAAACTACAGGTATTGTGTCTGGTGTATTTCCAGGTTCTTGGATCTGCGGAAAGCTGAATATGCTCATGAATACCGATGTTCTCCTCTATCAGCAGGTGTGACATTTTTTTTTTTGCTCTTTTTGTTTTTCCTGTTTTATTACCTCACTTCTCTTCGTCATCTCTCTTCTATCCTGATCACTTCAATATTTTTTTTTGTCTCTTTTTTTACTGTGTTATTTTCTTTTCCTCTTGAGAACACCGGGTACTGTAAGCAGTGCACTATAATCCAATATATTTTGGCTTTAAATAACCCATAAAGGGTTGATAACCTGTGAAAATCAATCAATCAATCAATCAATCAATCAATTTTCATTTTCTTTCCTCTTACTTTCTCTCATCTTTTTTCTTCATTTCTTCTTCCAATTAAGGTATTTCTCCCAATATTGTAGGTAGGGCCATGAGAGAAAGAAAGATGAGTGTTCAGCGTTTGGAAAGATGTGTAAAGAAAAAAAATATGTGAAAATAGAACCACTTCCAATTTACATGTAAAGTCAAAAAGAAAGATGTTGAGAGTGTCGTTTAGAATCAATGTGTTTAGAATGCTTATTCAATGTGTTTAGAATGCTTACTCAATGTGTTTAGAATCAATGTATGACTAATTAGAATCAATATAGAGACGATAAATATTTTTGTTGAAAAAAAAAAAAGAAAATAACTTTTTAATGTAAGTTAAAATTAAAAGCAACAATTTAAATATGCAAATGGAAGTAAAGTAATGCTCATTCCCAGGAATTTTGGAGTGTGTCTAGGAAAACTAAAATTATGAAAGCTTTGACAATAAGCCCTGGGGTGGGGGTTAGGGCAGCATGCCACCAAGCTAATGAGCTTATGTGAATGAATGGCTAAGTATGGAGAGAGAGGTAAAAAGACAAACATTGCTAAGAATTATGAAGTATAGGAAGTAGTAGAGAGCTGTGATCACCCACTTCCTAAGGAAGGTGCTGAGAAATGGAAAAAATTTTGTTATTTTTTCTTACAAGTCTTATTTCTTCCTTTAGAATATTCATCTCTTATTGTGAATGTTTTCATAGATAGATAGGTTTGTATTTATATTTTTTTTATTCTGTGATTATTAATAATATTAAATGTTTCAAAACCGTTTTTGCTATAATGAAAACAAATATCTTTTATATAAAAAAAAAAAAAAAAAATTTCCTTCTTTGGTAAAAATCTCTTTTTTTGTATTCAGTCTTTTTTTTTCTCCATTCCCAGGCCTGATACGCTCAGTGACTGTGAGCCCTGACAGTAACTGGGTAGCAGTGGCCTTTTCTTCAGGAATTGTGTCTGTCCTTGATGTCCGAACAGGCACTCTTCTTGGACAACGTAAAGGACATGATGGCGACATACTCCAGGTAAATAACACATAAAAAGCAACAAAAAATATAGGTGTAAAAAAATCAGTTTATTAATCTACATTAGGCCTGAAATGTATGAAGGGCCCCGTAGCTAGCAGAAAATTGGTCACAAGAGTTAATTTTTTGAGTAAATTACTGAGTAAGAAACTGGCGCAAGTGGACTATTGCACCCCAAAGAAGGCATGTTTTAAACAAAATCAAAGGTCATGCATCATTTTTTGGTCATGGTTGACTGTTCCATTTTTCTTTTTTTTTCCTTTTAGTAAGAAAGGTTTAGATTTAGTGTTTAATACTTTGCTACACACTTCCTTATGTTTTGGGCCCCTGGCTATGTGATTTCTTTTAGATATTCAAACATTTAAAATTTTTAGAAGATTTATTATAGCTGAACAAAACAACTTGGATCTTCTCAACCTACCCCTGGCACACACTTTCTTCAAAATGATGACAAGGAAATGCCAGCTCTCTGTGTACCCTGATCACTGATTTCCTTTCGTGAGAATTTTCAAAAAGGATTCTTCCCATCATTAGTGTTGGAATTAGGGAGAGGGCGGCAGAGACGGGCACGATGTAGGGAGAGGGCGGCAGAGACGGGCACGATGTAGGGAGAGGGCGGCAGAGACGGGCACGATGTAGGGAGAGGGCGGCAGAGACGGGCACGATGTAGGGAGAGGGCGGCAGAGGCGGGCCATGTAGGGAGAGGGCGGCAGAGGCGACCATGTAGGGAGAGGGCGACAGAGGCGGGCATGTAGGGAGAGGGCGACAGAGGCGACCATGTAGGGAGAGGGCGGCAGAGGCGGGCATGTAGGGAGAGGGCGACAGAGGTGGGCATGTATGAAGATAATTTTTTCCCCTGTATACATCACACGGTAGGTCTCAGCTGCAGGTTTGAACTGGTGATGAGTTATTTTTATTGTATACCTTTTATATCAAACCATTTTTTGTTGTTATATTCATGTTTTATCTCTTATACTCCTTGGCTTTGGGCTTATGGCCATAACACATTGAAACCCCTGTTCCCATATGATCACCGAAGTTCAGCAACCTTGAGCCTGGTTAGTACCTAGATGGGTGACTTCTTAGTAATACCAGGTGCTGTAACCTTGAATGTGCAGGTGGTGTCATGGATAATGGCTTGAAATTGTTAATAGAGAGCAGAGTTCCAGTTCCAGTTGGGTTCATTATATTCATTTACATGCAAATACCCTTCAGAAAGTTATGAATCCATTGCTTCTCCCTCCCAGCCATGGATTAATTAGTAAGACTTATATCACTAGATCATTATCTCCCCCACCAAATTCTTACAATCTAAAAATATTTTCTGGCTTTAAATAACCTGCAATGGGTTGATAAGCCATACAAAAATGAATGAATCAGTCAATGAAATACTGATTACCTACATTTTTAGATTTATTTACATTCTCTGGAATATAAATGTACAAAAACTAACATAACCACAAAATGAGGGATCAGTTTATGTATTGATTTTAATATGGAATTGATCCCCCACTTTATATCCCCATTATAATTTCTTGTTTATCAAATTCTGGTTAAATATGAATCCAACTCTTTTCACTCCAAGCTATGGGTTAATTATTAAGACATGTATCATTAAAACTATTATCTTAAAACAAAAAGAATTCTTATAATTTAAAAATATTTTTTTGGCTCTAAATAGCCTGCAAAGGGTTGATAAACTGTACAAAACAAATCAATACAAAGAAAACCTTTGGATGTCTTTGTACTCAGTGACCTTCTTAGAATTTTTTAACTGAACCTTTTATTCTTAGGGGGATGTTTTATATTTAGCAGTCTTATTCAGATTTGTGTTGATCAATCCTCTGGTAAGGCAATGAATGCTGGACAATCTCCTCACAGATGAAGAGAAAACTGGAGGCAATAGAAATGTTCTACAGAAGGATGCTGAGAATACCATGGACAGAGTGCATAAGCAACAAAAAATTTTCAAGGAAAATGGAAACAAAAAGACATGTACTAATATAAACCCACCTACTGACAACGGACCTTTTTTATTTTGCTTTTCTTTCATTTGTAAGTCACTAGTTCCACTAGCTTGTATGTGTAATACTGACTTTATAGTCAATTGGCTTTCTTTTCCTTTCTCGGTTGGAATTGGTGTGTCATCTTGATAGGGTTGTTTTGGGTTTCCTAAAATCTTACGATATTGGGATTGACAGTAAAGTCTAGAGTAAACTTCTAATATATGTTATGTACTATGGGCAGAACTGCACAACCCTGTTAAAGAGTACGTAATTCCTGCTGAAGATTATGCAACACTTTACATAGATGTGGTAAACTTTTGTCTGGGTGCTTGTTTGAACTTGGGCTGGAAAAAGAACTCCTTCAATGAAATGCACAACACTATTGATAACTTTAACAACAACTTTATTAAATAAAAATACTCTACTGCATGAGTGGTGATTTAGAGATTCTAGTTGCATCTATTAAAGTGATGCCTGGTCAATTCTTTGGTTATGCATGGGAGATTTCTAATTATAACGGTTCATGTAATGGCCCTCTTGTTGATTTTTCTCAATTCTTCTGTCATAGGAGATTTATAATCATAACAGTTCATGTAATGGCCCTCTTGTTTATAATTTTCAATTCTTCTGTCATAGGAGATTTATAATCATAACTGCTCAGGTAATGACCCTCTCGTCGACTTTTCTCAATTCTGTTGTGTGTGTCTGTATTTTCACACTGGCCCAGAAATTGCATGTGTGCTCTTTATCAACGACTTTGGCAATTCTGAGCCCACATTGAGATGCAGACATCTCCCTGCATCTGACATCCACTCCATGTTTGGAGTTGAATGACTCTCAGCGAACATGTGCTCGACATATATAGAGGAATCTTTCCTGGTAATGGTGATTGATGACTTCCTTTACCTACACAAAGACGGCAGATAATAGCAATTCCCAATAGCCACTATCTCCATCTTCTGTACTTCAAAGTTTGCTCACATGTCTCAAAAATCCAAAATGTCAGCCATAAAAATTTCTGATGAATGTCACAGAAATTAAAATAAATGAGTTCGTCCTCCAAACCTTAGACACTAATCTTTATTTTTGTAGGGATAATTTTTTCTGGTGGCTGACACCTACCAAATGTTTTTCTAGCTCTTTGTCTAGAACAATTTAGATGTTATTTCTGTGACCACCCATGTACCTTACCAATAAGGTATTGTAAACAATGGATGTCTTTTTTTTTTTTTTTTTTATTTATTTTCCCAGGACCAAAATCTTTGACAATACATGGTTTTTTTCTTATATTTTTTTTGGTTGGGGTGTTACTGAAAGTGAAGGAATCTGAGAAAATGTTACTAAGGAGAAAGGATAATAAATAGATGACAATTCAAAGAAATAAATGATGATGATGATTGATGCTGCATTTAAACCTTATCCATTGGGTAAAAAGCATAAAACCACTTATGCTTTCCCATTGCCAGATATCTTAACAAAAAATGTTTTCCATGGCAATTGCTAAGAGAGTGAACACAAGGTAGGCTACTCTCCCATTATTAATTTACATGTCTCTGCATGGGATTTTTCTTTCTCTAATAATTAAAATCATAGTAATTGTTAGAAAGTTTTAATAGTGAGATGCAATAAAACAAAAGTCTTGAAACAATGTATTGAGATTCAATATAGAATTCACTACTAAAACAGAAGCCAATGAACCATTTAATTAATCTGATCACTTTAGCATCCTGGGTATGACGATAAACTATGTGCAACAGCAAGGCCTCTGATCAGGAGGCTTTGAGGAGTGTGGAACCTCCTCTTAATTGCTGGTGTTCCCAGGTCCACCCCGGCCTGGGGTGGTAGCACCTGTTAGGGTACCAGCCATGGGCAAATAGTTAACCCTGAAACTGAGGTAAAAAGCATTATAAAAGTGTAAAAATAGGTTTTAATACTTTGTAAGAAATTATTACCAGAAATAAATTTTTGAAGAAAAAAAAAAAATTACCAGCAACCAGCAATACATTTTTGAAAAAATAATATTACCAGTTATGTTTTGAAAAAATAATATTACCAGACATTTTTGAGGAAAAATATATTAACAGAAATAGATTTTTGACAAAACAGAAATATTACCAAAAAAAAAAAAAAAATGTTGTTGGCATTAAATGACCCATTGAGGTTGATATGCCGTAAAACAAAACAAACCAAACCAATCACTTTATATTTTTTAGATTTTCAATGGTATCAATGATTCATTGAATACTCCTTGTATTATATAAATCGATTTTGGCTGAATATTTTCATGTCAAAAATTTTGTGTTTACTATAACAGTAACATAGGAATATCTCCCATAAGAAAAAAATTAACAACAGATTGACATAGATGTCGATGACATGGTTTTTTTCGATACCAAGTTGAGGAAATGCAGTCACTTAAAAGTATCTGAGTACCTCACATGAAAGGCTTGAACAAACAACGCTGTAATCTAAGAAACAGGAGTAAAGGAACTGATTAATTAAATGGTTCATTTTGCTTGGGAAGTAATTTTCTCCAAATGCAGGTAAATATTTGTATAAATTATTAAAACAACTCAGGAAAGTAATTACTCAAAAAATTACTCACTTAAGTTGATTTATCCTTCCTTTCCACTACAGATGTACAGGAAATATATAAATGCACATAGATAATTATTACATGGTTTGATTTTTGATTACCATATCTTTTTTTTTATCCCTCCTCTTGTCAAATAAAAATTCTTTTAACTGAATATCATTCTCTTCAGATCAAAGCCTGTAATCGGCACACGTTTGTGACTTCATCCTTTGATCAGAGCATGCGGCTGTGGAACGCCAGCGACCTCAAAGAAATCTGCCAGTTTAAAGGTAAGTCATGAAAACACTAGGTTGATTGAGGTATGATATCTTATTTACTAAGGTTATAAAATAATAACCTGAGCAGTTACGATAAAAAGCAACTGAAATTAAGATGAAAGAAATAATAAAAAAAATACATTGACACTATCATAGGCTGACTGAACTCAAGACTATAGTCATTGTTAATGCCATAATCTTGTTGATAGATGCATATTATGTTCTATGCCACAGCTACATGTGGCTTTGAATTAAGAGTTGACTTTCTCCTAGACTGGTTGCTAACCATGACTACAGAGCCCATCTCCCTGGATGAAAGAAAATACTAGTCAAAAAAGGTATAGAAGATAGAATTTGTAGATAATCATTATTAATAAACAAGAAAGTACTTTTGTGAAAGAAATACTAGTCAAAAATTAACTTCAAAATAGTAACTTATCAATATCTTCTTCTCTGCTTTATAAGCTTGCTGCATATATTGATCATGACATCTACACTGGACGGATTCTTTTCAATTTCACTAGGAGAACTCTAACAGTTGCTAGTATCCCAAAACACATTTCTTCTTGTATTTATTTAATATTAGTCTTGCTCCTCTATCATTCTCTCTCTTGCCATAAATAAAAAAAACATTGTCTGCTGAATTATTTTAAAATTATTATTAAGGGAAATGTTTTTAAGACAGGGATTTGGCTAGTACATATAAATAAGCATATGGATTATACAACCACAGGTTTGCAAATGCAACTGTAATATCTTCACTACAACATATCACATAAATATACAAGGTGGGCCAAAAGTAAGCTTACAGTTGTTTCACGTTTTAGATCTAATTTATTCAAATTATAATTTCAAACCAGTATTCCATATCCCTTATTCACAAATAATGCTGTACATTTGTAATCACCATTAGACTCATCCAACTCTTTCCAAATCCTCTGCACTGTCCTCAGATTGTCACCCAAACACTCTGAAATGTTTGTATTAGAGTTTTTGATGTGAATGCCAAGCAGTACAGCATGCTGTTTCCAAATTTCTGGTGGAGTGAATTGTGTCATGGTGCTCATTTTCTCACAGATCATGCCTAACTGACCCTATTATACCGTGCAATTGACAAAATCAAAAACCGTGTGCATGTGTGAAATTTAGAAAATAAAATGGCGACAATTTACCCCTCGCACCTCTGTGTGTGTGGTGTTGATATATATATGCGCACATACACACACACAAACACACACATATATATATATATATAGATGTGATAGGTTGTTGTGTAAATATTATTACAAGATGTTTACAATTCCCTATGTAGAATAATTAAAACTATTTATATTGTTTTGCTTATTCAATAACTAAACGAAACAGTAATGGTGATAGGTCATCAATTTGTTGCAGCTTAACTCATTTGTAGAAGAGGGATATTTTCTTGTGTTGGAGAGAAATATGCGATAAATTGTCATGGAGTTACTATTAGGGTCACATGAGGTTTAATGAATTAGAGATGGTGTAGTGTGTGTTGTATGCAGCATGCCTGGAGGCTAAGAAACTCCTTGAAAATGAGCTGCGTATTGTCACTATGGCATCCTGTGATTGAAAAGAGTGAGAGAGAGAAGTGTTTGTACATTTTCCTTTCATGTTGCTTTATACAATGCCGTCTAGCAGGCAATAAGAGGTTCCCTGATAGAGAAGTTGGGATAATCGTGCATCAATATGAGTCAGAACTACTTAATGTTCATTTACTCCTGACTCTATCCTCTACTTTTATAAGAACCAAATCAGGCCAAAGATGGAGTACTGTTGCCATATTTGGGCGGGTACTGTTGCCATATTTGGGTGAGAATTGCCCAGACCCCACTTTCCAGTCTTGACAGACTTCAAAAGTGTTTCTGAGTCCTTGTGGGAGAAGAATTATTTTCCACCTTCCAAACTCTGTCTCATAAGTGGGATGTGGCCAGCCTCTCACTGTTCTATTGCTACTACCATGGAAAGTGCTTGGACGACCTGTATCTCCTGGTTCTACCAGGTCTCAGAGCTTCACAACCTTCCTATGCCCACTTAGAAAGTACAAACCATCCATATTTGTTCTGTATTTCATCAGTGAGAAGTAAGTTCTGGTTGAACAGCTTCTTCCTGCGAACCACTGCTCTGTAGAACAGACTCCCTAGAGGAAGTTTCCCTGACCACTACAATCTTAACCTGTTCAACCATTATCTTCCCTTCCTATCCATATAAAATACCCATTAACCTAACCCTCTACCTCAAGTGGCCCTTGGGCCTTGTACAAGGTCAACTTTACTTTAAAAAAAAGAAAAAAAAACTGAAAAAGTAACATAAATAGGATAAAGAAAGAAACGAAAAACTTGCGAGAAAATTAATTACAATGTTAGAAAATCCAGACAACTTAAGATTGTTACTTGTCACTTTTAAACAAATGATTGACAGAAACCTGTTTCATTGTTTTTAGGAGCATCCGAACCTGTCCACTGTATTGGTCTCTATCGTAATCAAATCATCTCGGCTACAGCTGGAAATAAAATTGGAGTCCATTCATCAATAGACAGACATGTAAGTATTACTTTTATCAGAATATAACATTTATATAATAATATATTTTATTGTTTACTGGCAGTTTTGATTTCTATGCTCCATTAAAAACAGATTGATTTTTATTGTAACCAGTTACCCTTGGATCTATTAATAGTTTGAATCCAGATCTGGTGACTAGAATATGGTGATTCTTTTAAGAAAACATCTGCAGAGGAAATACGAGTGTGTCAAAAAGTAGTGCAATTTGTTTTGTTACATAAGAAATAAGTAACACGATCAAACATATCATGCATCAAGATATAGGTATACATCACAGGTTCACATCCTTACTTCTCAAAATAGTCGCCACCTCTTTTAATGTCAGTGTTCCACCTACAAATGAGACAGTGTATCCCAGGTTTGTAAAACTCTGCTGGATGTAGCTAATTCCTTAAAATATTTTTTATTTATTCATCTTTACCCTAATATATAGTGCCTCTTTCATTCAACTAAAGATATGAAAGTTTGAGGGTATATATATATATATATATATATAATAATGGACTCTCTCCTGTCGGTTTCGATGTATGAGGATCTGATAGCTTAGTTGATTCAGTTATAAAATTTTGTGCGATAATCTTAAGTGGCATTTAAGACCCACCAGTGATTTACAAAGGAGGCCACATATGGAGCAAGAGTGAGGATTGTGACACGAGATCACTGTTAGATTGGCTGACCTTTTAGTTCTTGCTCTCACTTCTTGAAGATGATTCAGACAAGGAGATTGAAAATTGCCAAGTCCACTAAAACACATTGATCTCCATTCTACCCACTACAAGGCTAAGCGCTCAAGGGTGTTATGTAGTATATTGATAGCTGACAAGTGTGACGGCACTTGGTCCAGGGTCGAATCCTTTGGTCACGGCGCCAACGGTGACGTCGCTCCTCCGGGTCGCTCCTTGCTGCCCCAAGTGTGACGTTCCAACCCCTTGGTTAGATGATTACCAGCCTCGCCTTTCCCAACTCGCTTCCAACACCTGGTTACCAGGGTAACTGTACTGATCTCCGGTCTGCCTACCCACGCCAGTGATTAGATCTTAGACAGACGGGATCAAACAGGGATTGAATGATGCAAGCTGAGTTAAGCCGGGGTGGCAAAACACAAGTAAAAAAAAAAAACTCACGAGACCAAAATTACTGATAAAAAAGGGTAACAACCTTTTATATCTAATGTTAGTTATAAAAATTATTCTTACTTCCCGACCCGCTTTGGGACTGTGGCACCAAGCTTCTATCATACAACTTAAAGTCTTGAGTTGCCTACTCTCTAGAATTTTGTGTGTCGGAGTGTGGTTTAGTTTTGACACTGGGCGCTAATCTCTACCAGTCGTTCACGGCTGATTCTTCTCTTCGCTTGAGTTGGACGTATTTCTTCACTTCGATTTGGTTTGAGACGAATTTCTGTTCTTGGGCTTGGTTTGATTTCAACTTCTTCTATGCATAACTGCAAGTAACTTCTTCTTCTTCCGTCCTGCAACTCTTCTCACTGCCGTCTGAGGTGATCTGAGCTCTCTGTCATCCAGGGCTGAACTGAGCTCTCTGTTTGGCCTGCAACTTTACTCTCTGCCGTCTGGGGCTGAACTGAGCTCTCTGTTTGGCCTGCAACTTTACTCTCTGCCGTCTGAGGTGGACCCTTCTCGCTGCCGTCCGGGCTGAACTGATTTCTGTCGACTGGGGTCCTGCTTTTATTGACGCCAAGAACAAACTGGGGTGTGTCTGTCGGTGTCAGGGTTTTCTCGATAATTCAAAAGTCGCATTACTTCTGATTTCCCATTATCGCTCTTATTTTCACCCCCATTTCCTCACAGTGCCTCTGGTGGGAGGCGACATACCCATCTCTCCGGGTCTCTCGTATGTCAGGTGACCGCTTTTACCCAATGGGTCTTGATCGAGCGTCCTTTTCTCCTCTTTCTCGCATATCACGGGACGCTTTCGCCAATGAGATTCTGGTTGGGCATCTCCCGTGCCGTGACGTCTCCAATCGGGCGTGGCTTATCCCGTCGTTGTCCTGGGAAAGAACACCTTGCTAAAAAAACAAAATCTAATTTGGCCTTTTTCGGTCGCGCGTTTAAAAAATGACAATCTCGGCCTTTCTCACCTTCCTGGTCTCTGTCAAAACAGCCCGCCGCTAATTAGATGTGACTTCAGGAAGAATTTTCTCCGTCTTACTGGCGCTCTCTGTGAGCCAAGAACAATCGTTTTTCACCTCTTTGTTTTTGCTCAGACCTGATAGTCAAAAATCTTAATTATCTGAATTGAAAATGTCTTCACTTCATCATTGTGGGGGTTCCAATTTTTAACAGGTCAGAATCTGTATACAATTCCAGCGGTCACCTTCTCATCCCAAAAGACACCTTTCTCCGACTAATATTTCGTTTTCCATTGTTCTAAAAATCCCATTTCTCCAAATTGATAATGAGTCTTCTACACAAAAGTAGGCCAGATGCTTTGACCGACATTTTTATCAATCGTACATATGTTCATACACTTTTACCAAGCCTGTTTTCTTTCTTTCTTTTAATTACCTTTAATTCTATTCTCCCAAATAACAATCTCCATTGTCACTTGAAATTCGGTCGGGCGCGTTGGCCTCTTGACACCTGTTTTCGCTAATGACCGACCTTTTGCATTACTCATTTGCTTTTTCTTTTTTCCTTCTTTTTTTTTCTTCCCTTAGGATCGCCTAAGTACAATTAGAGAATTATTCTCGAAACTCAATTATTCTTCGTCTAAAAAACCAACAACTGGTTAATAAACCGAATAAAAAAAATTAAATCATATTTCTATGAATATTTCTTTTCTTTAGTTTTTTTCTAATAATGCAGGGTGCCACACAAGTATAAAACTGTAAAGAAAACTTGTAGGGATTTTTGTGGATAAGTAAAAATAAAATCATCTTTGACAATTTTTAAATAATAATATACCTGAAAGCACTTGGACATACAGAACATTTTAACAATTTTTATATAATTCATGTGCAGAAATGAATAAAATTATAAGAACACAAGATAAATAAAAAAAAAACTTAACCACAGTACCTTGTCAGTAATTTTTAATGGAACTTGTGTGTGTATGTAATATCTATAAGACAGATATTAGTTGATAACACAACAATGCTCACACAGTAAAGATAACCTTAAGATATTGGAGGCCATCTACATTAAAACAAACCAACCCACACTCAACATAATTACATATCAAACCAGTCACAACATATTACAATGCATTTAAACATATAGTTCTGTTGATAACATTTATTTCTCTTATGTATGATGTCATAGAACTGCATTATGAATTTACGGCCTATGTCTGCAAATCCTCAAATGTTAATGTCGCATAGAAAACTTATGTAAACATAACAGGATGTCACCTTTGATGGTGTGCATCTCTGTTGTAATGTCCTTCTAACCACTCTGATGATGGCTCATGTGAGCTGATAGCTTAGATCGAGGAACAGCATAACAAAAAAATAAAAAAAATATCCAAATGGACTTTTTGTCTTTATTTTCTCCTGAAACTAAAGTCACTATACGAAGCTTAGAATAACTGATAATGAAACATTTGTTGTCAGTTATATTTAACAATATATGTTTGAATAATGATCTGCTGCTGCATATATATATATATATATATATATATATATATATATATATATATATATTTATATATATATATATATATATATATATTTTGTATATGTGTGTAGACATTAAGGTCAACATCGAGTAGCGACAGTCTGTTTCAAGCATGAAACTATTGGGCATTTATATTTACACACGTTTTATTACTGATATTGAGCATTTTTAACTATAAATATAGTATACCTTAAAATAAATATATTTAGACAGACATGTTTTGTTGAATAATATAGACATATTTTGTCTATTTATTTTTATAATAATCCTTTCTAGTTCTTTGATTAGCTTCTTGATATCAAGTTGAAATTCATCAAGGAAGGATGCCGTAGTTTTTCCTTACTCAAGTACTTTTGATCTCCTCCGAGTTCATCCTTAGTGGGTGAATTATGAAGACAAACTTATTGCAACTGTGATCGTTGTGATGGTGATCTTTGAAAACATGTGTAAATGCACACTGTTATAATTGCTTTTGATATATATATATCAAAAGCAGGCAACCAACTCTAAACAAAATTTATTATGAGTGTAGCAGCAATGTTTTAAAATGTATTTGACCAACATTTCATGGCATTTTTGCATTTTTACTGGTTAGCTTCCTTTTATTGGGATACTTGTTTTCAAAAACACCATAGCTACAACAGATAATTTTAAAATGATTATCACAGAGTGCGTTCATAAGTGTTTTCAAAAATTGCCATTACAGCAGTCATAGTTACAATAAGTTTGTCTTTGCAATTCCCTCTTGAAGATGATCTTGGAGGAGATTAAAATTTTATAAAAATGAATATACATAATATTAATTAATGAAACATGTTTGAATGAAGATATGCTGCCTAAATGCACACACACACACATATATATATATATATATATATATATATATATACACACACACACACACAAAATTATAGAAGAGGCACAGTAGAATAATGGATAGTGCCTTGGATTGAGGAATCAGAGAGCCATGTTCGAATTCCAGTTGAATCCATTACATTCACTTACATGATAATACCCTTGGGAAAGGTACGAATCCTCTTCTTCTTTTCCCCCCATCTATGGGTTAATAGCAGGACAGACTAGGTTCTATTTCCTTGGACGGCAACTGGTCTAGGAGAAGGACAACTTTGAATTCAAAACTTGTGGAAGGTCATTTGGGGACCTTGTGGCATGTAGTGAACCTCTGTATTCAGCCTTTCAAAAAGTGTGGTTGGTTCTGCACAAGGCCTTCACCACTATAATCAAATCATATGTGCAAGTGTCTGGTTGTCAGTTTCTAGGAACTGAGTTGCTTGACCCCCTTACATCGATAAATCACAGGAGAGTCCAGCATATATATATATATATATGTATGTAAAAATATATAGGAAATAGGAAAGAACTCGTTATGTAAATAATCCAAAGTTCTTTAGTATTTTTGTTATTATTTTTAAAAAACAGTGCTTGATACAAAAGTAGAGCCTAAATATAATTATTTATTTAAAAATATGATTCCATCGCTACATAACAGTTCTCATGTTTCAAAACAAGAGCTGAAAACTTCAATATAATTATTTGAATTAAATTGAATTAAAGTACCAAGCTCTGTTCCATCTTGAAGCGAAATTTTTTTGGGAATAACTAATTCCTGAAATTTACGCGTTTTATAAGCATATTCATTATTAAAATTAAAATTACTATGGTAACAGCTAGAGCTATTATTTAAAGAAAAGGGGTGTAAAGGTTAATAATTTGTATCAAGGTTTCAGTTACATTCAAAGAGGTCAAGTCAGGGTAAGGTTGGGGTGTCTAAATTCAAAGTTGAAGATGACATCGTCTAGTCTGGTTAAGTGTCTATGGAGATTTATTTATTTTATTTTATTTTTTTCTGAAAGGTTTTGTGTATAGAAAAAAAAACTGTCATAATTCGCTAACATTTTTTTTTTTTGACGACTTTTTAAAAGGTTTTTTTTTTTTTATATCAAATATGTGGTGGAGTTCAATTTATATTATAATGAATTATTAATACAAAAAGTATATTAGTAAAGTTAATGATATAAAATGATAAACTACAAAAAAAAAATTCTTAAATTGCCATATTAGTAAAAAAACGGACTCTTAAATGTTCAAAAAATTCAAACTTAACGTTGCGAATACATGCTCCAAAAGTTTGCATCTGTTAACAATAACACATTTCTAAAAAAAAAAAAAAAAAAACAAAACATTTCAATTCACATTTAATTTTTTCGTCTTGAATGCTACCTGAATTTTACCAAAAACAAAATAATTTCCATGCTGGAAGATGACTAAATGTACAGTTGAAAGTACTTGCGTATTAAAGAAAGACCTTATACAGCTTATAATTTTAAAAACAAGGATCATAACATTCGTCAAGTGATTTGTAGGTTAAGGCACCTTTAGAATTTTGTTTGCAAAGGGATTTCGTCATTTTATATCAATAACTTTACTAATCTACTTTTTGTATGAATGATTCATTGTAATATATATATATATATATATATATCATAATTCCATCTCACAAGTGACCCTCTCTGGGAAATTTCACAGGTGTTCCTTGATCAAAATTATTGATAAATCCTAAATATTAGATTAACATTTAAAATATTAGATTATCATTTCGAAATTTCACTGCTTTTTTGTGATATAAAATTTTTGTGATTTAAATAAGGCTTTCAACAAACTTCTGACATTTATAGCTCCAAGGATCAATGAAAAACTTTGTTTCACTCATCTTATCTGTGTTGGTTTGTAATATTTCTTCGAGTTATTTTCTATTTTTTAAAAATTTTTTCAATCATTTCAACCAAGGCAGGGCAATAACTTCACTAGAACACAGGTTGGAGGTACATGGAGTGAAAGAGAATGAGAAGATTTTAGTGGTGTTGATTGAGGAAAGGACAAAAAAAAAAAAAAAGAAAAAAAAGGAACAGATTTCAACAAAACGTATGATAATGATTGATGTTGCATTTAAATTTTTGAAGATTGTAGTTAGCAGGGAAGCAAGAAATCAGAAGGGAACTTGACAGGTGGGAAGTGCAAGTAAAAAAACAAAAAACAAACTGTTAATATAGAAGTGGCAGTTGCATCTTGCTATTACAACAGTAAGACAGTGAGACCTAGTTGCCAGTCTAGTAGCATATTTAAATTCATGTAGTCATGGCACCAGTGGAAAAAAAAAAAAACTCATCAGCTGCCATGAATCCCCATTAACAAGTGGATGGAGTGATTGTTACAAAGCTCTAGAGTTGGGCTGCTGAAGTTGACACCAGTCAACTAAGTAACAAACTTTATATTTGTATTAATGAGAGATCATTATATATATATATATATATATATATATATATATATATATATATATATATATATATATATATATATGGACAGCAACCTTTCTTTCAAACATGTTCCATTGAATATGACAGACAAGGAAAATTTAATAAATTTTTTTTATTGAGTTTTTTTTTTCCAAGTGTTCTTACTTTTTTTTTCTGTTTGGTAGGAGTAAGGGAGTGTAAAAATTGTCCATATTGTCTATTGTCCCAAGCACTTTTGGCCACTTCTTTTTCAAGGTGTTTGTTAATTGTTGTTAATTTTTTTCCTGGTTGCCTTTTAAGATGTTGTTGTATGATTCCCTATTGAATGGTAGTAATGTTTATTCTGAACCTCACAAAAGGAACGGGATGTGTAAACATAAGAGTAGACACTGAGGTTAACACTGAGTGGCAACAGTCTGTTTCATGTGTGATTGCAATGTTCATCACTGAAGATTGCGTTCAAGCATGAAACAGATTGTGGCTACTCTGCATTGCCCTCAGTGCCCACTTTTATATATAAACACTAAATTGTATTTCCCTCCTCCATCAAAAAAATAAGGCATTAATAATAAATAAAAAGAATTAAATTTATTTACTTTTGAAAGGCTTATGGCTGCATCATGTTGAAACACTGGTTCTTTTATGTTCATTGAAGTTAAGCAATGTTCATCCTGTTCAGTACTTAGATGGGTGACCGCTTGGTAATACTAGGTACTATAAGCTTGGATATGTCAGTGGTATGGTTTATGATCATATTATGTTGAAACATTGGTTCCCATACGATCACTGAATTTAAGCAATATTGAAACTGGTCAGTACCCAGATGGGTGATGACAGGTGCTGTAAACTTGGATGTGTGGGTGGTGTAAGGATAATGACTTGGAATTGTTAATCGGAGAGTCAAGTTCCTGTATGATCACTGAAGTTAAGCAACATCGAGCCTGGTCAATACCTAGATGTAATACTGATTGGGAATACCAGGTGCTGTAAGCTTGGGTGTGCAGGTAGTGTAATGGATAATGCTCCAAATTGTTAAGCAACATTGAGCCTGGTCAGTACCTAGAAGGATGGCCACTTGGCTGTGTGGGTGGTGTAATGGATAATGGCTCATAATTGTTAATAGGAGAGCTGAGTTCAAATTCCTGTTGCATTTGTTATATTCAACTATGTGCAAATACCCTTGGGAAAGGTATGAAAACCTGTTATCCCCTTCAGCTATGGGTTAATTAGTAAAACTTGTATCCCTAAACTATTATTATCCCCCCCTCCAAAAATATTCTTACACTCTAAAAATATTCCCTGGTTTTAAAAAAAACCTGCAATGGGTTGATAAACCATAAAAATGAATGAATCAATCATTATCTTACAACTGTTTAGTCTTTGAGCTTAAGGGAATTGTATTAACTTTTAAGGAGACTTCATGGTAAACATAATTCTTTGAAACTCTAAGTTCAGACCGATAAGTGAACAAATTTATTTTATGTATATGTTGGTTTCAACCTTTGGGGATGTGGCGGACATGAGACCTGGTCGCGACTTGCCTTGTCCCCGCCAAAAAAGAGCCCGTATTTGCTTAGCATGTAAAGCTACTGCAGTTGAAATGAGGAAGAGAAAAAAAGCACTTACCCCTCTGCCGTAATCCATCCTCGGCCAGATAACGTAAGAGAATGAGGGGGGGATGGCATCACATTTTTATGCAATAACGATGCAATGCATTATGGGACATGGACGCAATGAATTATGGGATCACATGAAGACGCAAGGGATTATGGGTACATGAACAACTATAAAAACAACTACTTTTTTTTTTCCGAGTCGGGAGTTCTTCTTGAGGGACGTTCACGGTTGACGGCAAGAACGGGCAGTTAGTGTGATGTGGAGACAGAACTCAAGAAGGAACGACTCAAGGTTGAAATACCAGTTGGGAGAGCTTGAATTTACTCGCTGGTTACTCTTTTCTTCATTCGCCTCAGGGGATGACCTGAGGATTTCTTCCTAACCAATAAAAATGCACCACTTCTCAGTCGCATCCCTGATATCTTTGGTCTTTGTTGTCTTGAAGTCAGAACATATAATAACTTATAGTATCCCTTTTGCATGTGAACACAATTCTTTGCGAACTTTTTACAGTTGCTTTGCCTACTTTTGACTTGCATATATGTTGTTTGCTTAATTATTTTTCCCTGTTCGTTCTTTTTTTTTCTTCTTTTCTTATTGCTTACTGAGAACTTTATCAATTCCACTTAAGCATGGCCAATTACTCGACAGTATATCCCATTATGATTGAAAGGCTTAATCTTTACTAAAAGTTGATTTTGGAGTTTTGGAAAATATTTGAAAGCATAAAATAGGCAGTTTCTATGTTTGATTATTTGATTGCCATAATTTATTTTTATTTTGCAGGCAACATATACCAGCACGAAGCTTCATCCAGAAATTTTCAAAGGGGTCCTTGCCAGCATGGCTGTTCTGCCACTCAATCGTACTTTGCTGCTTGGAGCTGACAATGGTGCCATCCGATTGCTCTGCTGAAAACATATGCACACACTTAGATATATAGCATTTGTGTCAGCATATATGTAAATGTGTAATATATACGTGTATGTGTTTTTGTGTGTGTGGAATTTTTTTATCATCTCTCATATTGCAAATAAACTTTATTTAAGATCTAACTAACATTAGTTGATCAGTAGTATTATAAAGATAACGCGTGAACCACACAAGCTTGTTTACCTGAACATGGAACAATGGTTAGCATGCTAGCCTTGTAGGCCATTATTAGTGTAGTGAGTTCAATACTCACTGAATGCCTCACAGTTGGGGCCTTGCGCCAGACTAAATAAATATTAGTAGATTCCTAAGTCACACAAATTTGGATAAATTTTTTGTTTATTTTTGAGCATGTTAGTTTCTGATAGTGATATTAGATAATAGTTTTAAAGAATATTCTACATCCAGGAAGCACCCCTCTGTTGCACTAAAAGGAAAGAAATAAGAGCACATTACATTTTTTTTTTTCTTTTTTATACATTTGTAACTTTTATGCTTGTTAAAAAAATATCGATAATTGCCTGGAAGGGTTTTTTTTTTTTTTTTTGTTTACTTTGATGAATGTATTTGATGTCAAGAGTATCACTTCTTTCTCCATTTTTTTGGTTCATCTGCATCAATGCTCGGCAACCTTTATCAGTGTAAGGCCTGCTTTTCAACACTGGGTATCTGGAATGCCCACAAATCAATCATTTCTGAATTAACAGAATTAATTTAATAAATAATTAAGTTTTAATGACTGACTATGAACGGAGGTAAATGGAAATAGAACTTTGTTTTTATGGATACCCATTTATTTATAGATTATAACTTACCGATTGCAACACAATAGAAAAAAATAAGAGCAAAAAGCTAATGCTATTCAATGTTTTCCATGAGTGAAGGTCGAAACATTTGGAGAAAAGTTTGTTAATGAGAAACAAATTTTCCTTTCTGTAACACTGAGACAATTTCATGATTTCACTAAAGTGATACACCCTGAAGAATGCTGTTTCCACAGAATATGAGATGGGGAAAGACGAGGAACAGAAATTTGAACTTCAACCACAAGCAATGGATACCTGGCAGCAGTATTTTTGTGTGTCCACATTATGACCTTGCCTGTGATTTTTAGATTCATCACCATGTTGTGACATGAGAAATTCTTCAACCAAACTTGGATCTCTCACCTGATCTACATCAATAATGAAAGGATCAAAGATACATTTGGGCGTGTCTAAATTAATAATAACTATCATTACAAAAAAAATACCTATGGGTATTCTCAGATGCCTATCAGTGAAGTGCAATATCTATCAACCCCCAAAAAGGCTGAATGCCCACTGTAGCCAGTCAAATGCTCAGTAGTGGGAGCTAGCATCCAGGTTGCTGACCACTGGTCTACATTGTTTCTGTTTTATCATGGAGAGATTATGATATTAAACTGATCTTTTAAAAACAAAATACAATTTCTTGCCAAATGAGATTATGTTTTATTGAAGGGGGAAAAAAAAAGAAGAAAAAAATTGGCCATGTAACTTATCTCTGTAAATGAAACTGAGGAATCCTGAGATAAAATGCTGACCGGAGAAAGAATTACTCCTTAAAATATCATTTATCGGATGCAATCAAAATGGAATAAACTGAAAAGAGCTTGCCCAAAATTTTATTAATTTAGTCCTGTTATGATGATTAAATGCTCTTGTTAAAGTTTACAGTAAATCATATGAAAATTCTGTTAATTCTTCTGTGTATCTCCTCTTTAAATATATATATATATATATATATATATATATATATATATATATAATATATAATTTGTAAAATTTGTAAAAATGTTATTTTGACCTGTGTTACCAATCAATTTACTGACTTATTGACAAAACATGTCAAATAAGTTTTACAAATTCTTATGTATTTGCCATTAAGTTGGATACTCACCAAAATGCAGATCATCTCTCTCTCTCTCACACACACACACATATATATATAATAACTATTTTAATCTGATATTTACTATAGGCATTGAACACATTGGATTATTTCATAGGTAGGTGTATTTAGGTTTGTTCTTTTTTCATTTTTTTGCTGTTTTTCTTTTTATTTTGTTTTGTTTCAATTTTTTTATTTTTATTTGCCAGGCTTTGTATTGGAGTTGCATTTACAATATTTACCAATACTTTGGTTTGATTTGGTTTTATATATATATATATATATATATATATATAATGTTATTCATCAGAGTAGAATTAGAATAAGGAAACAGTAACATTTAAAAAGTGCTCAATACATATATAAAGAAAATAAAATTAAAATTTAACATGCAGAGCTTTTGAATTTAAAAAAAATTAGATCAACCGGTTACACTACCTTGGTTTCAACCTTTTGGTATGTTAAGGTGAACCGGGCTAAATAATTTCCTAATGCTTTATCATTTAAAAATAAATTAACGCACAATATGAGGGTATAATAGAAGGGGAGGAGAATAGCAAGCATATTGAAA